CTGGCCTCATGGCCTCCGGGGATACAAAACGCAGGGCCCTGACACTGGGGAGAGAGGATGCTGTAGCATAGGATGGGAGGAGGGTGACTGCTTTGCAGGGCTCCTTTTGGTACAGGGCTCAAGGGTCAGCTTGATGAGGTGGCATTTGAGCTGGAGTCTGGACAATGAGCAGGAGGTGGCCACAGGAAGGGAAGAGGGAGGAGCCTTCCAGGGAAGGGGTCAGCAGGTGCCAAGGCCCTGAGGTCACCACCTTTCAGGGATGCTGCCCAGTCCAGGAGCAGGGCTAGGGGACCCGGAGGGGCTGCCTGGGTCAGAGGCTGCTCTGTAGCCCTGGGGGTCGGCCTCGCCTACACTCAGGGAAGAAATCCGGTTTAATGGTTCTCTCCTGGCTTTGTTCTAGGTTTGGGGATTTGGTTATCAGGCATGCACTGAAAACTTGGCCCTTGCCTCCAGAGCCAGTCCAGTAACAAGGGCTCCGTTCAGATGGGACAAGTGCAGGCATGGCTGGATCCAGGAGAACAAACAGGCCTCAGGGAGCTGCCTTCTGTGTGGCTTTTCCCAGGCAGATTCCTGCCCCAGCCCAGCCCAGCCTCCAGGAGAGGGCGGGCATCTGAGCCCAGGGTGACAGACACTCCCTTCTCTTCTCCTATAGAGAAGAGGGAGGCCTCCAGCACAGCAGGCCAGGTGGCCCAGGGCAGGTGAGAGGGTGTCACACACTCAGGGAGTGCGGAGGGTGACAGGCAGGGGTGACCGCCAGCCACCATTATGTTCCCAGAAAAGCTGGAAATCGGGGGTTTGTAAGCAAGGCCCTGATTTCTTAAAGAAAAAACTATGGGACGGAAAGCTGCCGTGGCCCGGCCGCCTGTCACGTGGCTCCGCGGCTCACTGCCACTCTTATCTCCAGAGCGCCACGTCCCCCGTGACCTGGCATAGTGCCCCGTGGAGCGTCCTGGAAGTCAGCCGGCACCTCTGGAAAGCCGTCCCGAGGGCGAGAGCCGGGGCTGCGGCAGCTCCTCCAGGAGCTGGGGACGAGCCCTGGACGGGTGGTCTAGTAGTCAGCACTCCCTGGAGGCAGCTGGGGTCAGCCTGGACGAGGATGGCCGCTAAATCCAAGGACAGATGTCTTTCCAGGGAAGGTGCAGAGCAGGCGGCCCCGTGGGCAGAGGTGTAGGCCGGGCCCCTACGGGGGAGACGGAGAGCCTTGGCCGTCCAGTAGCTGGTGCCTGGAGCCATGGGAGGACGTGACTCTGGCCAGTGCAACGTGCCCTCTCTGGTCGGGCCCCGTGGAGCATTCTCAACACCTCTTCCCGCCCTTGCCACTACCAGGACAAGGCCTCCCGGTCCCTGAGCAGGTGGCCCTGCCCTGCCTCCCTGCTCCCGCCGATGCTCTATGCCCGCAGTGCTGCCCCGATGCCACTGCAGTTGGGGCCAGTCTGGAGACAGTGTTGGCTCCGCAGCTGCCCGCCACAGCTTCCGGGAGGGGGGTGCCCCACACCAACCTGCCTGGGCGTGGCCTCCTCTGACTGAGAAGCATGTCTGTGGGGACAGAAGCATGTCTGCGGCCTGCTTCCCCCTCCCCATCAGGGAAGCCTGTCCCCAGGGCCTGGGCTCCCGGGGGCCTCCTGGGGAAGGGGACTTGGGTTTCTGTGGTCTGTCTTTAGCTGGCTCAGGGAGGAGAGGGCCAGCTGCTGGCCTCGGGCTGTGGGCAGCTCCAGAGCTGCTCAGGGCCTGCCCTGGCTCCAGCCTGCAGTGGATGGGACGGTGGCCAGAGCGGCCAGGTTGGCCAGGGCGGACAGGGCAGCGATGCCTCACTGAGTGTGGGTGGTGGTGTGGTCGGCACGTGGTCCTCACTGGAACCTGGGAATATGACCTCTTGGATCAATGGCCTTGGCAGAGGTGATGAAGGCCGGGTCCTTGAGACCGGTCTGGACTAGGGAGGCCCAAGTCCGACAACCAGTGTCCTTCTGAGGAGGCAGGCGGAGGCCTCGTGAAGGCAGAGCTGGCTGGAATGGAGTGGCCATATGCCAGGGACACTGGGAGCCACGGGGTGAAGGGAGGTGGGTCCTGTGTGTCCCGGGAGGCAAGGAGGCCTGCTGACATCTGATGTCAGGTCTGGCCCTCAGAGTTGTGGGAGGGCCGCTGGCCGTTGTTCTCAGCTGCCCAGGCTGTGATACCCTGTCCCTGCAGCCCCTGGAAACCAGGGTAGCGTGGATTTTGTTTTAATCACACTTAACTTTTAAAACTCTGTTGTCTGGGCAGTCCCAGTGCCACGAGCACACAGTAGGGCCTCCGGCACACAGTAGGGCCGCACACCTTGGCCAAGCACCCAGCAGCCCCAGGCCTGACTGGAAGCGGCTCCCAGGCGGGCAGCGCTGGTCTGGAATGGTCCACTCTGCAGCGACTCTTTCTCTATCACATGGAGTTGACCATCCTGAATAGGCCACCGGCCACCGTGTGGCTTCACCCTGCTTCCTCCTTCCAGAATGTTCCGGGCATCCAGAAGGATAGCTATACCCAGGGGTCACACCCGCCGTACCCAGCCCTGGCGACCTGGCCTGCTCTCCACCTCTGGGTTCACCCCATGGGGGAGGGCTGGGCACCGCCTCTCGCCATCCTAGCTGATGTCTGTCCATCCGTCCTTGTGGCTGAATTGTGTCCCTCTGAGGCCTGAGGCCGTGTGGCCCGAGCCGCTCCACGGAGGCCTCTCAGATGAGGAGGCCGAGGCCGCCCGCCCCGAGGCCTGAGCTCAGTGCCTCCCTCCTCCTCGCTGCCCCTGCCCCCCCCCCACTTCCCTCACCCTGTCCCTTCCGACCTGACCCCTGCCCCTCCTGCCAGGAAGCTGTAGCCTGGGGGGGTGCAGAGCAGGGTCTCTTCCCTGGTGCTGGGTGTGCCACGGTGGCCTGGCCATGTCTGGGTCTGGTCCTCTGAGTGCTGTCCACCTGAAGGGGTGCATTCCCTTGACCCTGGGAGAGGCAGAGGCAGGCGCACTCATGGAACCAACCCCGGGAGGCTGGGGGACCCTGCCTGGGCCACCTGGCCCGTCCTCTCTGGAGCCGTTGCCTGGTGCTCGCATGGCTCTGGTCCCTGGCGGGTGGCATCGCTGACCTTGGCCACCCCAAAGTGCTCCATGCAGGCGGGTCCCTGGAGGGCCGCGTTGGCACACCTTGGGCATGTCTGGTCACTGCAGGGGCTTGGGGACGTGGTGTCTGTGAGTGCTGACCACGGGCCAGTGTGCCCTGGACACTAGCTCAGGTTTGATGATGGGCTGTTCAGAAGCAGCTGCCTGTGGCTCTCGTCAGGAAGCCACTCAACAAGCGTCTGCATCTCACAGGGCAGATGCAGGACGAGGCTGTGAGTGACAAGGGATACACCGATGGTGGGCACTGTGAGGTGAACATTGTCCTCCAGGTCCCAGGGCATCTTTGGGGAAGGCCTGCAGTGGGTCTCTGTCCAGAACAAGCTGACCAACAGGACCGCGCAGCCCGTGCTCTCCGGCCTGGCGGTGTGCGCCCAGCCGCTGGACCCTCCTCTGCTCTGGGTCTCTGTCCCCGGTAGCTGGGTGAGTCCCCGGCTGCAGACACTCGCCTGGAGCTCCTGGCTGAGAACGGCCTCGCTGCCCACCTAGAAGAGAAGCCCTCAGAGGGACGGGCCCGCGTCTGCCCTGGGCACGGGTCTCGGGAGCCTAGAGGTCTCCCTGGGGTGGTCTCTGATGGCCAAGGGGACCTGATGACGAAGTCTGGGCTTCGTCACCTGCAGGTCTATGAAAGCCTGGGGGCTTCTTGCCGGCTCTGCCGCGGGCACAGAGGGCACAGACGGGCCTGCCCAGAGGCGGTCCCAGGCCTGGGTGGGTCGCTTGTCCTTTGGGTGCTTCCTGTCCTGGATATCTGGTCCTTGTGGTGGGTGGGCATGGCCCGCCAGCCCGTGACACGCTTAATGTGGCCCAGGGGACCTGTGCGAGCTGCTGGGTGCCGCTTGTGCCACCCTCCTGTCCCGAGTCCAGTCCCCTCGGTCTCGTCCCTGATTCTCCCTGCCCGCCTGTGTCAGTGCACCACCCTTGGTCGTGCCTCCCTGCACCCCAGGCCGGTGCCCACGCGGTGCCCAGAGATGTGCCCACTGCTCATGGGAGTGAACCCGAGACTGTGGCGTGAGCTTGGGCAGCTTTCCCTGACCCCCGCTGCCACCTCTCAGCCCCTGTGGACGGCAGGCCCGCCCGCCCTCCACCAGGGGCAGACTGACACCCAGAGGCGCTCAGACTTGTCTGTGAGTCACACGCGGACCGCGGCCAGGGCTCCGGCTCCTGGCTGACCGGCCGTCGTTTCTGGCCTGGAGGCTGTGCGTGTTTTTCCCTGTGCCGGTCACCAAGATGACCTGAGTCGGCGTTCTGTGCCGCGTCTTCTTTTCCTGAGATTCAAGGGATAGGAATACTTCCCTCTGGCCGCCTGACCCTGCAGGACAGGAGGGTGGGCAGGGCCTGTCCACCTGGGCCCTGCTGGGAGCCTGCACGGCCAGCTGGGAGGAACGGGTTAAAGGAGGGGACGGGTTAAAGGAGGGGACGGGCTGGCTCCCGAGCTAGAGTGGAGAGGCTTCCAGCCGAGCTATAAAAAGGCCTCGCGGTGTTTGAGCGAGTCGCTGGCGGCCCGCCAGGTTTCCATGGCGATGAGGAATTATCCCGGGTGCCAGGGCTGGAGGACGCTCCTACCCTGGCTTCCGACCCAGCGGAGATCACTTATGTAATTCTGTGCTGCAGGCCCGGTGGCCAGAGGCGAGGCCAGCGCGAGGCCCGTTGTCTGGGTCCCGGCCGTGGGGTCAGGGTCCCCGTGGCTTGTCTCTGAGGGTCTCTGCTGCTCCGGGTTGGGGGGCAGCGTGCAGGAGCCTGGGGGTCCGCCTGGCCCCTGGCCCCTGCAGGGCCGCTGGCTGGGGTGGGAGCCCAAGTCTCGCGGGAAGGGAGCGGCTGCCTGGGCCTGGCGGCAGCCCTGCAGGAAGGATGGGCCTGCGGCTGGCCTCTGGGAGTCTGCTGGAGGCCCGTGGCCGCCCCTGTGCGTGCACCACGCCGCCCCCCGGCTGGCACGGCCGCCCCCCGCCCGCTGCCCTGTGAGCAGGGCTCCTGCCAGCGGAGCTCCCAGCCGCCAGCAAGACCGGTCATGTGGTCGGTAAGAGGAGTGGCTGGGCCCCAGGTCCAGGGAGGGCGGCTACAGGCTGGGGGGCCATAGCTCATGGGCCGTGGGCTGGAGGTACCACCCAGGGTCTCTGGAGTCACCTGGATGGAGCCTTAGCCCTGTCGCCAGGCTCAGGGGCCACCTGGGCAGCAGTCAGCCAGTTGGGAAGATGTGGTCAGGCCCCACGCTTGTGGGACGGTGGACCAGGCTGTCTTATTGGACAGAGTTGCTCAAGTCCTAGGGAGCTCGTGGCAAGGTCCCCAGGGAGTGGACGCACGGTGGCCTTGCGCCCCCACTGGACCTCGGTGCACCGGCATTGTCCAGAGAGTGGTGTGCCTGGCCGGGGTGCGCTGGGGGCCTGGGGGCCTGGGGGTCTGGAACAGGCTTGTGCCTGGTGCGGCCTGGTGTGGCCATGCTGCCTGGCTTCGGCGCCCAGCTCCCCACTGAGGTGGCGCTTGGCTTGGTGCCTGTGTCTGGTTTGAAGTCAGTGCCACCGGCCCGGGCTTGCCCAGGACCTTGGCAGTGGGGTAAATACTAGAGAGTGGGGTGGGCCCCGCACAGGGCGCCCTCAGGGAGGGAGGCCGAGGGAGGCCTGGGCCTGGAGCTGTGGGGAGCAGCAGCACGTCCCCTGGGGACCCTGAGCCTGGCAGGTGGTGGTCTGCACCCCAGGGGCGCAGGCTGCTTCCACAGGCCCCGTGGAGCCCTGTGGTGGCCCGTCCCGTGCTGTGTGGCCTCAGGCCATCCCCTGGCTGCTGCAGACCTCGGTTTCCTTGTCTGTGCTGTGGGACGGTAAAGGGGTCCACACAGGCATTGGCACAAGGGCAGAAGACAGTGGGGTCTGCGTCCTGTTGGACACGCCCCTGCCCTGTGGCCCTGGACATGCCTCTTCACGGGATGAGTCTCACCTTTCTCATCTGGCAGGTGGATACACGGCTGGTCCCCACCCCACAGGCACTGTGACCAAGGGGCAGTAAGACAGGCCTCTGGCTCATGGGAGGCCCGGAGGCCTGGCCTCTCGGCTGCTGATGTTAGGGAAGGGCAGTGGTCAGCCTCTGGTTCAGGTCCAGCTCCCGGCCTCCAGGAGGCTCAGTCTCCCAGGCCCTGGGACCCGGGGCCTGCTTGTGTGTGGACGCACGGTGGCCGGGGCGGTTCCTGTCCCCTGTCCTCTCCTGCCCCCTGCAGTCTGTGGTCCTCAGGCGAGGCAGAGCGTGGCAGACACCCAGCTCTCCTGGGCTGGGCGAGGCCCCGGGCCCCCTGCGAGCCGTTCCGCTCCCCTCCCTGGACAGCTCCCACCAGCTCCAGGCCAGGTCCCCTCCATGGTGGCCTGCGGGCCGGGCCAGGCAGGAGTCCGGCTCGCTGAGGTGGCAGCCGTCCCGTGTCTATAAAGCACACCGGATGCCCGGCTGGTGGCTGGCTTGGGGCCTCCACTCTGCGGCCAGCAGGAGGCAGCGGGGAGTCCCCTGGGTGGGCGGCAGGGCCGTCCCTGCCAGTGGCCTCTTCTGAGTGTCCTTGGCCCCCCTGGGACTTCAGGAACAGCTCCCGAAGTGGGGGCCCTGTGCATGTCCCTTCCCTCGTCCCAAGGCCTTGCTGTCCCTTGGGAGGGCCATGGAGCTGTGCTGAGGCTGCCCACTATGAAGGACAGGCCACAGGACCCGGGCTGAGGCCCACACAGCTGGTGGCCATCACCAGAGTCTTGCGGTGCCATGGAGTGCTTGAACCCAGTGCTCAGATTGGGCGCTCCCTGGTTGAGGGCCAGCCCTGAGGAGGGTGTGGCGGCGGCTGCAGTGGCTCCCACCTTTGTGTCTGCCTTGCCCTTGGCCATGCAGGGACCGTGGGGGGCAGGGTCCCGGGTCCCGGGGCCTCGCTGTGCTGGCCTGCCTCTGGTCTGCCTGCTCATGGTGGCCAGGCCATCCTGGGTTCATGTCCACCATGGCCCCTGGCCCCAGTGCCCCCTGTGGAGTGGGGAGAACCCTGGGCCTCACCTGTGCCTGCCACGTGCTGTGGGAGGCTGATGCCAGGGTCACAGAAGGGAGGTGCCACGAGACCCCTGGGAAGGCCGAGGCCTATCCACGAGAGGCTAGACCCTGGGCCAGGAGCCAGCTGGGCAGCTGCCCCGGGTGGCTGGCCCTCTCTGACCCCAGTCTCCTCTTCCTCCCTGCTCCATTCTCTGGGCTGGGGCTGGGCCACAGCCCTGAGGGTCTGGCAGCCTCACTCCTGGGCCACCCGAGCTCAGCTTCTCAGCTCACTGAAGTGGGGTTCAGGTGACAGCTGGAGCCTGGGCCTCCCAGGAGGTGGTCAGGGCTTGCTTTATGCCCGTGGCTCCAGAGCGGCCCTGAAGGGCCCTGAGGGGCAGGGAGGGACTTGGTTGGGGATGTCCCTGCCTCCTGGCCTGTGGGCTGTCCCTGGGGGACCTGGGCATGGTCCTGCCCGAGAACCCTTGCGCTCTTTCTGGAACATGCTTCTCTGGGACCCTGCCGAACCCCTGCTTGCTTGGCTGACGTCCCTGGTCCCCCCATGTTTGAGTGTGACTGTGCCCCAGGTGGGGGCTTCAGAACCTTGGGCTGGGGTGGCTGAGGGCCGCCTCCTGGTTCCCTGAGGGTGTCTTCCCAGGACCCCTCCCGCTCCCCTGGGGACCCCATCTCCTCCCAGGCCCCGCTTTCTACCTGAGACAGGCGGGCAGTGCAGACCCCCAGGGATCGCCCACTGTAGCTGTAGGTATCTGCCCTGACTCAGTGCCCGGGCTGCCCTTGCCAGCCAGTGGGCCTCCTGGGCACCCGGTGCCTCTAGATGGGTCCTGCCCTGGGGACTCCACGGGGCACGGGCCCCTCTGCCTGGCTGGGCAGCCCTGGGAGGTCTGCAAGGTTCTGTCCTGCCAAGTGCCATGTGGGACCCCTGCCCTCCTTCTGGATAAAGCAGGGGGACAGGCAAGGGGCGTGCATAGTGCTGGCTTGTTGGGGAAGGGGCCTTCAGCACACCTGACCCTGGGGCTTGGCCTGGAATCACTTTCCCCTGTTGAGGCACAGAGAGGGTAGGTGGCTTGTCCAAAGACACACAGCATTAAAAGACAAATGGCATCATGATGTGTGCGGTGTTTCTGTGCCTAGAGGGCATCGTCCCAGTTGTCTCCAGGAGGCCCTTGGTTTTCCTCCCGGGTTTTGTGTGCTGGGCATCTGGCTCTGACCTGGGAGGGCCCTCTGCCAGGTTAGGGATAGTGCACCCCGCTTGGCCCAGATCTGGGGCTCCCAGATGCCCAGTCTTCTGGAAGCTCAGGGGAGTGATCTGGCAGCTCTGGAGCTGGGAGTGGGGAGGAGCCACCCCTCCCACGGTCATCTGCATGACAATGAGCCCTTTGTGGCCCTGGCCTCCTTTCTGGCTAACTGCAGTTCCTGGCCTGTGATATCATAATGGGCCCTTTCTGCAGGGGAGACAGAGGTTGGGTGGGCTGCCAGCTTGCTGGATGGGCCAGGGCTCCTCCGGGGTCCTGCTTCATCTCCCCGAGAACTGGGGAGACGTCTGCTCCTGCTGGCCCCTTCGCACCCTGGGGCTCCACGTCCTGGGCCCCCAGGAACCTCCCAGCGGCCTCTAGTCACCGCCTGCAGGGCTTCAGGTGGCCCCTGTGCCAGGCCTGCTGCGAGGGGCCCTGGGGGAGCCCGCGGTGGCCAGGCAGAGGCTACCCCGTGCCGCATTCGTGTGGTGCAGCAGGAGGAGGTCCCAGCTGGTGCAATGGCGTGGGTGGCCCCCAGAGAGACATGCCTGCGTCCCGGCACCCAGGCCCTGCGTGAGGCCACTCTGGATTCCTAGGGGACCCTCCACCCGGTGGCCAGTGTCCTGTGAGAGACGAGGGCAGTAGGATGGGAACCACTGAGGATGGAGCCGCGTAGGCCCTGGGGTCTTGGGGCCACCAGGGCTGGTGGGTGGCACGGGCCCTGCCAGGTGCCCTGCAGGGGGACGGGCGGCCTCCAGGGCTGCTTGGACAACAAACATGCTGTTGAAGGCTGCCCCGTGGTCATTCCCTGGTGGCCTGGGAAACTGCTCCCTCCCTGACCGTCTCCCGGGGTGCAGGTGACCGGCCCTGGATGGTCTGGGTAGTGCTGGGCCCTGGCCAAGCCTGAGTGTCCAGCACAAGGTCAGGGTCAGTAAGTCCAGCCCTTCCAGGAAGGAAGACACCCCGACCCTGCCTCCCTCACCGCAGGCCTGGTCCCTGCTTGCCTTCCACCTTCTGCAGTCCTGGCCAGGGAGCGAGGGACCCAGCAGGGGAGAGGCTCCCTGGGCCCCCGACACCTTGGCCACAGGCTGGACGTGGGCCAGAATCGGCCTGCAGGGTTCCCCCCGCTGGCCAGGAGCCCCAGAGAACAGAGGAACCTAGCCGGAGAGGGCAGGCCACTGGGCAGAGGCCACGCAGCTGCTAGGAGGCTGGGAGGGCGGCAGAGGGCTGGCCTTTTCAGCTCCCAGTGGGCGGCCTGGACCCCGGGCCTCGCGGAGACCTGTGCGGGGCCTCGTCGGTGGGTCTGCTCTGATGTCGGGGTTACCTGGCTGTCGCGATAAGTGGGGTGGGTGGGTGGCCCCTGAAGTCTGGTGAGGCGTGGCTTGCCTCCTCCTGGACCCCGTTGGGTGGTTCCTGGCAGGCCTGCTGCCACAGCTCGTGGGCGCCCGCGGCAGGCAGGACGTGGCCTGGACCTGTGAGGGGTTTGGGCAGGGCTGGGGCCTGGCTGCAGCCTAGTGGGGAGTTGGGACCCCCAGCCTGGGCGGGGAGGTCGAGGTGCACCGGCCAGAGCACAGTGGTCGGGGCAGCTGCCGGGTCCCCCCCAGGCTGTGTGGTCACCTGCTGGCTGTTGGCCTCGGGCAAGTCACTCACCTCTGTGTCTACTTGCTGTAGAATGAGTACAGTGACGAGCCTGCGCCACAGGGACCTGGCCTGATGCAGGTGGTGCTGTGGGAGGGGGCGGCCACGTTCATGACTGTGAAGCCCCTGGCGCTGTGCGTGGAAGAGGGGGCCACGCCTTCCCGCCTGCCTGGTGCCTGCCCAGGAAAACCTCTGTCCCTGTCCCTGGCTGGTGGGGGGCCTCGGGGGAGGTCAGCGCAGCCCGGTGGGTGGCTGCCGGGGTCTCCACCTAGGGCGGCCCCTTCCTGTGCCAGGAGTCGGGGCTCTGCTCACCAGTGTGTGGCGTGGGGTGTTCCTCCAGGACCCGGTAACCGGGCTCCGGTTACTGCTGGACAGCCCATGCATGCTGCTGGGGAGCGGCCCAGATCCCGGTCAGGCCGTGCAGGGCGCCACTGCCTGTGTCCATGTTAGAGCCAGACAGCGCGGGGCTGGCGCTGGAGAGGCCACTCCTCCCGGGGGTGAGGGTTCTGAGCGTCCCCTTCCTCCTGGGCTGGGCCTGTCCCAGGCTCCTGCACCCAGGAGAGACCCAGAGAGTGGAGAGCTGACCCCAGGGAGATCTGAGCCCCTTAAAATTAGAGTTTTAGGCTTCCATCTCTTGGCTGCGAGCAGATTTCCTGATCCTCCTGTTTAGCACAAAAGGCTCATGTAACTAAAAAAAGCTTCAGGCACAGTTGGATCCAGGTGCTGTTGTGTTCAGCGCCTCACAGCCCAAGTGGAAGGAGAGCTCCAGTGGAAGGAGAGCTCCAGTGGAAGGAGAGCTCGTCTTTCCTGATGTCCAGCAAATCTCCCGGGAGAGGGTTTTGTTGGCTCTGCCTTGGGTTCGCGCCCTTCCCAAACCAGCAGCTGTGTCCCAGCAGCTTGATTGGCTCCTGACAGAGGGAGTGGGGGTGGCCACCCACGGGAGCTGGGGTGTGGGATGTGCAGAGCGGGTGTCAGTGGGCAGGAGTGGTGTCTGTCCCCATGGGTGGCTCTCCTGACATGCTGAGGCCGGAGGCCGGCTACGGTCCTCCTGCCCTCCCTTCAGACCAGCGTGTCCACTGGGGGGAGGGGACCCTGTGGCTTCTGGACAACTGGGCCCAGGTGGTCAGCTGCTGGTATAGCAGGGCTTTGTCGTCTGGCCCGCTCACGTCTGGACCCTCCTGCTCCCCCAGCTCGGCCCCCGCCCCACTATGGCTTCCAGTGGCCCGTCTTGACCACAGGTCGCTGCCTGGGGGCCTGGGCTGTGTCTGGGGTCGGTGACTTTCTGGGCTGGGTCTGTAGCAGGGCCATGTCCCGTCTCCTGCCCTGCGCTGCGTCCCTGAGCCCTGGCCAGGCCTGGGGCTCCCCTTCTTCCTGCCTGGCCCGTGAGTCCCGTGCTTGCCACTGTCCTGCTTGAGGCCAGGACCCCGTCCCCCAGGTTCGTGTAGACCGTGCTCCCTGCACACGCTGCTGTCCAAGCCCCGTTGACTCTGATCCAGCCATGGTCTCCGTGGTCACTGGGCACTTGCTTTCGGTCTGGAGCTCCTGAGCAGGCTTTGGGCTCCCCGTCACTCCCACCCGACCCTGGTCAGTGCTGGCGAGCCTGAGCTTGGGCTTCGGCTGGCTCTGGCTGCCGCAGCCCGAGGGTTTCATGGCCACAGGGTCCCCTCGCAGTCTGTGTCACAAGGGCTCCTGGGAGGTAGCGGGTGGGGGTCCAGCTCCGGCGTGCAGTGCAGGAGGGGTGGCCGCTCGGGAGGGCCAGTCGGGAAGGTGGTCCGCTCTGGGCAGCTGTTCTCACATGTGCGCCGTCCCCAGAGGCCCCAGCTTCCCAGCGTGCCCTGCCCGCGTGTCCACCAACTCTTCCTGCTGCTTCCCGTGGCTCTGGCTGTACATGGTGCCCTTGTCTGTCAAGGCTATGGGTGAGGATGTCTGGCAGGGTGGGGAGGGCAGATGTGGCCCCGAAGCTGAGGTTCAGAGAAGGGAACCCACTTGCCCCAGGCCACACAGCTTGGGGGTGGCCGGGCAGGGCTTGTTCCTGCGGCCGCAGTTAGGGGGCAGCCGTCCTGTGGCCAGGGAGAGCCCGGGGCCGGCCTGGCTCTGGCTCTGCACCAAGTGTCTGGAGGGCCCTTGCTGTTGTGGAGGTGGCCTCCTCTGATTCCTGCTCTCTCTGTGTGAGCAGCCATCTTGTGGCAGGTGACAGGAGCCCCGTGTGGGCGGGCAAGGAAGGATGCACAGGAGGGTGCCTCTGCCTCAGGCCAGCTGTCCCCAGGGTGGCCTCGCTGTCGGCCTCGCTGTCCTGCAGCCCCGCCCTCCTACTGGCTGGCACCTTGTCCTGGCAGGCCAAGGTGGCCCTAAGGCTGCTCTCTCCAGCTTGACCCCCAGCCAGAGGCCTGGCCCAAGGCCGACCCTCACTGGCTGGGGTCAGCCCCATCTCGAAGACGGCTGGCCGTCCTTCTGGTTCTCTCCGGCATGGCCATGGGGCTTCTGCCTGAGAAGGTGCTGTTTGTGACCCTGGAAGCCCCCGTCACCTGCCCAGGGTGCAGCCCCTTTCTTGGCGTGGCCCTGACCCTGCGTGGTCCCTCCCTCTCCATGTCATGATGTCATCCTTCAGGAGGCCACAGGAGGCCCTAGAGGCCAGCCTTTCCCAGCCCACGCTGCCACCAGAGGCCTACTCAGCTGGCCCTGGCCACACCTCCCGGGCTGGTGCTGTGCGGGAGCTGCCAGGGGCTTTTGGAGAACCTTGCCCTGGGGACGCGGAGAGTCCTGGCGGCTGTGGCGTGGGGAAGCCGCAGCTGTGGGGTGGGTGGGCGAGGGTCTGGGAGGGGCAGCGTCCCCCTCTGACCCGAGGCCTGTGCGGAGTCCGTGGGCCTGGCTCTGTCCCCTGCCCTGTGCTGAGAGTGGCCATTGAGTAGAGGGGGGAGCCCCAGTAGGTGGTCAGTGGGCGGTTAGCGGGCCGTTCTGGTCCTGCAGGGCCTGCCCTCCCCACTCATCTGCTTTTTTGTTTCCACAGGAGCTTGTGACGGTGGCCTGTGATCAGATGACAGAGACTGGCCTTTAGTCCTCAGTGGTGGTCACCAGAGCGTTCTTCAGGGCCTGAGGCCCAGCCCCTGCCACCATGTCGGGATCCACGCAGCCCGTGGCACAGACGTGGAGGGCCACCGAGGCCCGCTACCCGCCCCATGGCATCTCTTACCCGGTGCAGATCGCCCGGCCCCACACGGTAAGGGGTGGCGCCCTTTGGGGCTCTTGCTCCTGCTCCTTTCCTCCCCTGCGAGCCAGGCTGCTGTGGCTCGGGACACCCTCTGCAGCAGGGCACCTTGTCAGAGGCTGCCCATGCCCTAGGGCCCTTCCAGGCCTGGGGTGTTTGGTAAAGTCTTTATTCCCATCTTTAAAGCTGGGAAGCCGAGCCAGGCATGGCGGCTCACCCCTGTAGTGCCAGCCATTTGGGAGGCTGAGGCAGGATCACAGTGCAAGGCTCAGCCACTTGGTGAGACCCTACCTTAAAATAAAAGAGAAGGCTAAGAAGGTGGAGGCGGGGCTTGGCTGAGCGGAGGCTCCACCCCCTCTTGATTGGCAGTTGAATTTGCCTGAGTGAGGTTCCTGCCGCATAGGCTGACCTGACCTCGCAGTGGCCGCCTCTGCTTTCCCGTCTGGGGTTGGGGAGGTCTCCTGGGGGCCATTCACTCCCTTCCCCGTTACTTCACTGTGGTGAGGCCCCGTGTGAGAGGCTGAGGCCCAGCCCATTCTGTCTCTGGACGCCCGGTGTGGGGCCCAGGCTGGGCAGTGGACTGCCCTGGGGACGGAGGCCTTGGTGTGCCTGTGTGCCCCCAGCTGCTCCCCTCCGCCTGCAAGCAGGGGCCAGTTTCCCCCCACTCCTCACTGGCCTTCGAGTCCTCTCTGGCGTCTGTTGGACACCTGTTGCGTACTGTGACCAGCCCCAGACGCTCAGTGGGTGGGTATCGGCCTCGCGGGAGCCATGGTGGGCAAGGCCCCACCCATGGGTCCTGTGAAGTCTGGGACCCCCATTTCCCCCAGAGGCAGCCTCTCAGGGGACCCCCCGGGCCCTGTGGAGCCCTTGGACGTGGGCCTGTGGCTGGCCCTGCCCTAGGTGGTGCTCCTCGGCGTCCTAGAAAGGACCATCTGGGCGATTTCCAGTTTGTCACAACAGGTATGAGGTCCCCTGCCGGCAGCAGGTGGGTGCTGGCCCTGGGGGGCAGGCAGGGCACTGGCCCGTGCTGGGGCCGCTGCATTGCTACCAGCCCTTGGGCTCTGGGGGCTTCTGCCCCTGTGTGCACCTTGCCACTGACTGGCACTGGGGACCTTGGCGGAGTGCCAGGCCACAGAGAGGGCCCCTCCTGGGCCGGGTGGGGGTGGGCCAGGCCCCCAAGTGGGCCCACTTCCTCTGCCTGACTTGCAGTCGTGGTGTCCTGGACCTCCTGGGATGAGGGCCGCTCTCTGGGCTCCCCTCATTTTCTGAGGAGTGGCACTGGAAACGTGGGCACTTCTGTGGGGCCCAGGGACTCTGTTAGCTGTGTCCCCGCCACTGCAGCTTGCCCAGGGTGCTGGGAGTTGCCCTCAGAGGCAGGCTAGAGAGAGGTCCTTTGGTCCTTGAGGGCCCCTGGGGCTGGGGCAGGACTCTGTGGCCTCTGCCCATTCATACTGCTCCTCAGCAAGTCTCCCCGCCTGTCTGCCGGCGTCCCCTGGCCTGGGGACAGAGCGAGCTGACGTGTGTGGGGCATGGTGTGCGGGCAGGCCCGGGGCTGGGGTCCAGCTCTGCTGGGCTGGAGGAGTGTGGGCCTGCCCTGTGCCAAGTGGCACTCTCGCAGGGTGGTCCCCGGCTCGCCAGGAGGGCTCGTGACTGCGGGGTCCAGGAGTGGGCTCACTTCCTCTGCTGACTTGTAGCCGTGGTGTCCTGGATCCTCCTGGGGTGAGGGCCACTCTCTGGGCTCCCCTCTGGGCTCCCCTCGTTTTCTGAGGAGTGGCTCTGGAAACGTGGGGAGTAGGCAGGTCTGGGCTCAGGACTGCTGCCGGCCCCACTGGGCAGGGTGAGCCCATGATCCTGCCTGCCCATCCTTGGTGGCACCTGGAGAGGCCCTCATTCCCTATGAGCCTCGCTGCTTCCTCCGTGGCCCCGTATCGCCGCCTCGCAGGCTGCGGAGGGAGGGGTGAGTGGCCAGGGCTTCCCTGCCGCAGGGCACAGTGGGCAGCTTAGTGAACGGGAGCTGCTGTCTAGGGTGTTGGCGTCAACGCCATGCAGCCCGGCAGGAGGTCTGCTCCGAGATGGCGTCAGGTGGATCCAGCCTGGCCGTGTCCAGCCTAGGTGACCACCGTGGGCCTCCTTGGTTGATTCTTCCCAGTCTTGCTTTCCTGGGCAGCCCTGATGTGGACATCACAGTGGACACCCACGGAAGGGACCCCAGCTCCCCCCAGGAAGTTGGGGTCAGAGTCAGAGTCAGTGCGGTGGGTTCCCCAGCCCCTGTGGCCAGCGCTGTCCCACCCACTCATTCTGCTGTGCTCACCTGGCTTTCCCGAGGGAAGGCCTGGGGTCACTGTCCTCACACGCCCCTGTGCCCTGGAGAGGTCTCTGCCAGGCAGCTCGCTCCTGCCCAGGGCTCTGGCTGCTTCCTGCCCATGCTGTGGGCACTGGTGCCTGGGCACTGTGGGGGGCACCAGGAGGCAGCTGCCCAGCCCTGGTGACTGTGGCGTAGAGGCTCCTCCCCTGGGTGGTGCCCATTTGTGAGTGGAGCCTCCTGAGGTTTGAGGTAGGGACAGTAAGGGACAGGCAGCTGCAGCCTGAAGCTGCGTAGCAGGATCCCCCCTGGCTGCCCTGGGAGGCCCTTCCTGGGGGCTTTATAGCCTGGAGGAGGACAGGGGTCCTCCCAGCCCCACCCTGCGTCCAGGCTCCTGTTCCCGGCAGGGCCCTGAGGGTCTGAGGGAGAATCCACCCTGTACGTGGTGTCTCCCCGATTCTCTGCAGAACAACCGCTTGAAAGTTAAAAGCCAGACAAGACAGAGTGGCTGGGTATTTCTGCCCACTCCCAAGAAACAGTGTGGAAAACCCAGACAAGATGCCCAGAGGACACTAAGTCACTCTCCATCCTGTGTCTGCTGCCGCGACTGTGCCAGACATCACTAATCAATTGGCACATGGCGTGGCCTGGTGTCCTGCAGACAGTGCGAATGGATTGGGATCAGCACAGCCATCTGTCTTCTGGGGAGAGGCTCAAACCAGGCTGCCCTTACCAGGGGATTTGAGAGCGTTCACTTCTCCCCAGGGGGAGAGGGATTGCGGAGTGTGGGACACGGGAGCTTGACCCTGGGGTGCTCGCCTTGCGTGCTCCAGCCCTGGGCTCTGTACCTGGTGCCACACACACACACAAAAGAGCACACGCCTGTCATCCCAGCAGCTTGGGAGGCTGAGGCAGGTGGATCTTGTTCAAAGCCAGCCTCGGCAACAGCAAGGCCCTAAGCAACTCGGTGAGACCCTGTCTCTAAATAAAATACAAAATAGGGCTGGGGGTGTGACGTGGTGGTTAAGCGTCCCTGAGTCCAGTCCCCAGTACAAAAAAAAAGAAAAAAAAGTGCAGAGCGAGGGTCCATGGGTGGCTGGGTATGAGGAGGCTTTGAGGGGAGGGTCCTCCAAACCGTGTCTCTGGGAGCCCCCTGCACTGGGCTGCGAGGTCCTGTGAGGTCCTGTCTCTGGATGGCCGGGGGAGCCGGCCGGGGTCCTGGAGAGCTTGGGCTGGTGAAGTGCGGCCTTCACTAAAGCTGCGCCTTGCCTTCCCTGGTGGCCTGGTGACCTGCTGGTGTGGCATGTGCTCGGCCTCCAGGGGCTGGCCTCCGCTGAACTGCTGGCCTGGCCTCCATGCAGCACGCTTGGCACCGGGTCCCTGCATACCGCGGGCTGGCCTCCCCTCCTCGGCCACGCCTGGCCGGGCCCTCAGTCCCGCCTGCCTGGCTGCCAAGCTCCCTTTCTGTCCAGCATCCGGTCCCCATGCGCTGGACCTGGTCCCTGGGCAGCTTCGCTCCTGGGGCTGTGAGGCTCTGCTTCCTGTGCCCACCCTGCTGGGCAGCCGAGGGAGGCGGGTGGGCCCGGAGCCCCTCTTGCCCAGTCTTCCTCTGCGCCAGGGGCTGGGCAGCAGGGGCCTTCTGGGCAGCTGGTCTGGATGGGCGCCCCCCCATGAGCCCTGCCTGGCCCCAGTGTGTTATCTGGAAAGTGGGCACAGTCGGGGGACCGATGGTCCCTTGAGGAGTGGGTGGACCAGCCTTCGCGTGACTCTTCCTTACTGGCGGGCGGGTGGGGGGTGCAGGGGCAGGGGGCAGGGCGGGGCGGGGCCGGGCAGCCCCTTCCTGCTCCCTGTGCCTGCCGGCTCACGCCTCCCCCTCTGCAGGACGTGGGGTTGCTGGAGTACCAGCGCACGCCCCGCGACTACGCCGCCCACCTATCGCCCAGCCCCGTCATGCAGCCCCAGAGGAGGAGGCCCTCGCTGCTGTCAGAGTTCCAGCCCGGGAATGAACGGTGAGCAGGGGCTGCCCAGAACCCTGCCTCGGGTACAGGGTGGAGGTGGGGTGGGCTGGGGCCCCTGCAGGGCCGGGCTAGGTGAGGGGTGTCCCTTGCCTGCCTGCCCTTGACCTGGTGGCCGCATGGGTGTGTGCTCTGGAGGGAGGTGCCAGCCGCTGGTGCAGGGACATGTCCACCTGGGCCGGGAGCCCCTCCTCTCCTCTCGCTGCCTTCCCTTTGCTGCTGCCCTGGGACAGGGCAGCCTGACTCTCCTCTGTCCATGGGCAGGGCCAGCAGGGTGGCTCCCCGGCTTTCCTCTTAGTCTCAGGACATCCACAGAGACCCTGTTCCAAGCCAGGTCATGTCTCTGAGTGACGAGGGGACACTGTGCAGCACTTGGGTTGATGCCATGTGCCTCCTGCCAGGCCCTGGTCCCAGTGCATTTCTCAGCTGGGAAGGCACAGAGGGCCACCCTGACCGGCTATGGAGGAAGGGACGGGCAGGCGCCCGGGGACTCCTTGCAGGTGTAGCGAGACACGGCCCAGCCCCCGGGGCTCTGGGTGGCATTCAGTCAGTCCATATGCACTGACTGAGCACCTGCTGTGTCCCTGTCACTGGGATGCTACAGTGGACAGGAGCAGTGAAGGGGCCTGGGACCAAACCTCCTGGGGTGGGGAGGCGGCCAGCAAGTTCCCGGGGACCACGGCTGCCCAGAGGGAGAAGTGTGAGGGGCACACGGCAGGGAGGCCACCTGATCTGCACTGCTGTGAGGGGTGGGCAGTTTGGAGAGGGCTGGAGTAGGCAGTGGCCCTGGGACAGTGGGTGAGGGAAGCAGGGACCAGACCCGGCAGGGCCTGTGGGTGAGAGCGAGAGCTTGGCTCCCCCCATGTGTGGGCAAACAGCTTGAGAATGTTCCAGGCCTTGGCGGGTGGCCAGTCCTGGGAAGTGGAGGTGCAGAGCCACAGCCCTGCTGGGTGTGGGGAGGCAAGGCTGCACCCCCCCTGGGCAAGCCAGGGAGAAGGGTCACAGCGAGCTGGTCAGGAGTCACCAGGCTGGACAGCTCCCATCTCTTCCCAGGGCCACTGGGCAGAGCAGGGGCCAGGTCAGGTTTGACAGCAGGAGTCTTTGGCCCGTTGGTGACCTCTGCCCTGGACGGTGCTAGGTGGCGGTGTCCCGTGTGTGGAGCTTGTGGGGTCTGACTGAGCCCTGCGTCACCAGGGGCCTCGGTAACTGCTGAGCAGTTTGTTAGTGCATCTGGGGAGCTGGCTCTGTGCTAATAGCCAGCTGCTGGCCGAGCTGCCGTGGCGGGTCCCAGACCACACTTAGTGGCCAGGGAGGGGCAGTCGCTGCAGGTGTCCCCTCGCCTCCCTGGCGCTTCCCTCCTGTGGACGTCCTCACGGGCCTCAGTCTGAGGGCAGCTGGGGCTGTGCTTGAGTCCCTGTGACCTTGTCACCAGTGGGTGTGGGCCATGACCCGTGCCCAGTGGGGAGGGCCTCGGGCCTCAGGTCCCAGCCTCCTGCATGACACCGTGTGCCCGGCCTCTGCAGGTCTCAGGAGCTCCACCTGCGCCCCGAGTCCCACTCGTACCTGCCCGAGCTGGGGAAGTCTGAGATGGAGTTCATGGAGAGCAAGCGCCCGCGCCTGGAGCTGCTGCCCGAACCCCTGCTGCGGCCGTCCGCGCTGTTGGCCACAGGCCAGCCCAGCGGCTCTGAGGACCTCACCAAGGTTAGGCCTGGCCCTGGCTGGGAGCCTGTGCTGATTGATGGATGGGAGGGGCCTGTGCCCAGGGAGAGGGCCACTCGGGCAGGGGTGCGGGTGTGGGAGTGCGCACAGGGTGGGCAAAGCCCGGGCACCAGGGGAGGCACAGGGACGAGGTCTCTGCAGGTGCCAGGGGATGAGAGGAGCTGGAGAGGTGTTGCAGGTGGTAGGGGGCCGTGCAAAGGCCCAAGGCAGGGAGAGAAGAGGGATCCTTGGGGTAGGGAGCTGGGTCCTATGCCATCCAGGGCAGCCCTGTGTCAATCCTCTGTACTGTCCCTGCTCATGGTGGGCTTGCTTGGGTCACGGCCTGCACGGAACAGGACGTCTGTGACCCTCTCTGGCCCTGCTCGGCAGATGGATGCCCTGGCCTGAGAGGCAGCCAGTGCAGGGCCCTGGGCTTCCTGGGCTCCTTGTTCTCGTGGGTAGGGGTGGGGTGTACGAGGGGAGCAGGGCTTAGGCACGGCCTGGCCTGGGGTCCCAGAGTCTTGGTGGGGCCAGCAGATGTTCCTTCCTGCTGTCCAAGTTGGCCGCTGGGCTGGGCTGCCCTGAGTCCACTCCCTGAGTGACCACAGGGAGCTCATGGCCGTTTCCTTCCCAGGTGGCTGTGGGTCTGGCCCCAGCTCTCCCTGCACGGGCCTGTCCTTGGCCTGCTGCTGCCCGCGCCTGGGTGCACCCGGGGCGCTGCTCTGGGCTGGGGCGCCTCCCCGACCCGCTTCTCCTTACTGATGGGGCAGAGGTGGGACGTGGGCACCTGGACGCAAACTTGCCGTGGGCCTGTGTGGTGTTGGGTGCCGGGCCAGCCTCCCTCCCGGGGGAGAAGGGCGACTTGGGCCTGGGCGTCCCTGGGTGTGTTCGGGCCGGCCGGAGGCTGGCCTTCCTCCCGCTCTCTTGCTTCAGTCCTGCCCACCTGCCTGGTGTCCACAGCGCTGATGCGTGGAAGGTGAGGGTAGGTGCCAGGAACATCGGAGCTCAGCCTCACGGCCTCTGGGCAGGCGCTCTCCTCTCCTGAGTGGCCACAGGACAGTAACAACCTGCTAACAGATGGAGTGGACTGAAGCCCCCTCCTGGGCCCGTCCCCCAGGGGCAGCTTTGTCCTTCCTGCTTCTGCCCTCCAGGTGGATTCCAGCGCCTCCCGAGTTGCTCCCTGGACCATTGCAGCAGCCCCCAGGCCCTGATCCCGCTCACCTGCCCCCGCCTATGTTCTTCCAAACAATAACCAAGAGGGTCTCGTGCCCCTCTTTGGTGCCCCCAGACCTGTGCACCAAACCTCCGTCTCAGGCAGGAAGCAGTTAAAATTCTCCAAGTGGCCTGCAGGCCTGCCATGATCCAGGCCTGCAGCCCCCAGACCCATCTCCCCCTGTAGCCCCCCTCACCCACTCCGTGCAGCCCTTGGTCCTGCAGCTCCTCAGACATCCCAGGAACTCCCAGCCTGGGCCCTTATCAGTGGCCATGCCCTTGGGCAGGACTGTTGCCTCTGAGAGCTGCTCCCCACCACCTCCTGCGCGTCATGGCTGCCCTCTGCGGCCCAGCTGACAGTGGGAGGCGAGGCCAGCCCCGAAGGCCTGCCTTCCTGACCTCCCCACGCCCTTGGCCTCTGTTGGGGGTGGAGTCCAGGCCACTGCCCTGGGGTCTTCTCCAGGGACGTGCAGCCCGTGGCCCCTCCTGCAGCCCTGAAGCCCCGGCAGCCCCCACCCTGCCCCTTTCCTGCCCCCGCCCCCCACCCCACAGCCATCCCCGCAGCCTGTGGCCTAGTGCCCTATGGCCCAGTGCCTGTCTGTCCTTGAGCCGTCCATTCCTCCCTGCCTCTCCTGTCCCTCCAGCCACCCTCCTGGTGGTCTCCTGCCATCTCCCTCTCCTCCCCCGTGCACCCGTCCACGCCCATGGCGTCCAGTGTCTCGGGAGTCACACATCCTCATGGCTGGACATGGGCAGCTCCCACTCGTGTGTCCAGCCTGCAGGTCCCCCTGCCTCCTGTGCCCTGAGGACCTTGAGAGTTTATTCCTCTTTAAAATAAAGCAAGACTGAGAGGGGGTGTGTGCATAGATTAGGCACCTATAGTTTGCTGCCGTGGGTGTGGCTCTGCGGTCACCCAGCTGCCTCAGAAGCTTTGTCCGACTGCCCCAGCAGGGTGGGGACCGTGGCTAGGTGCCATATGGTGCCATATTCTGTCTGGTGCCTGGCCAGTGTGTGACAGATCCTTCAGGCTCCTGGCGACCCCAGGGACACTCATGAGCTCACTGACGGGCCTCTCAGCCACCAGTGAGGTCAGTGATGACCGGCTGCAGCGCTGGGGACAGGAGCCGGGCCAAGGGAGGAAGCGGCCCAGGCAGCCAGTTGGAGCGGAGGGCTGAGTGGTGGGATTCCAGGCCCAGGCAGGCCCTGCCGTGGGATGCCAGCACACGGGGACGTCGATGACAGGGTAATGTTAAGTGAGTGCCAGGCCCAGCCAGATGAGGTTGACGAGGTCAGGCCTGGGGCGTCCCAGGCAGCGGCTGTGCTGCCCACCCGGCCCCGGCTCCCTGGTGGGGCCTCCACCTGGGCTGGGCCTTCAGAAGCTGGGCTGCTGGCAGGATAGCGAGGGGGTCCGGGCCAGCCCAGGGCTTGCCGTCCCTAGGGAACCTGGCCCCTCGGAGTGCTGACTGGGCTGCGGGTCTTGGGTCTGCCCCCGAGTCTCTCGCTGCTGACCCTCCCTGTCCTGGCGCCACCCTCCTGGGTCCACGAGGTTCTGCACCTGCATCTCTGCTGGTTGTGTGTGTCTCTGTCCGCCCCCTTGGGTCTCTGTCCTCCTGTCCGTCCCCTCGGGTCTCTGTGTGTTCATCTTCGTACCCATCTGTCCCCTCGGGTCTTTCCGTCCACTCAGGTCCCTGTCTGTCCGTCCCCTCGGTTCTGTCCATCCGTCCCCTCAGGTCTGTCCGTCTGTCTGTCTTCGTACCCATGTGTTCGTTTCCTCAGGTCTGTTCATCCTTCTGGGTCTCTGGTCCATCTGTCTGTCCCCTTGGTTCTCTGTCCTTCTGTCTGTACATCCCCTCTGGTCTGTCTATCCCCTCTGGTCTGTCCATCTGTCCGTCTTTATATTCAACTCGTCACCGCCTGGCTCGCTCTCTCTGCTTCTGTCTCTCACTGTCTCTTAATCTCTGTGTCAGTCCCTTGTTTCCATTTCTGTCTCTGTCTCTTTGTCCCTCTCTGTCCCTCTCCCAGTTTGTCCCTCCTCCTTGCTGAGCCCTCGCGGGTGTCCTGGAGGGTGGTGGGTCCGTTGGTGCCTGTGGACAGTCTGAGCAGGTTTTGGGTGGGCAGAGCTAGGGGAGCAGCTCCGAGTGGTCACGAGTGGCCACATGGTCTCGTCTGCTGCGTGGAATCCAGCCGCAGGCCCGAGATGGACCCAAGGGGAGCTTGTGCAGGCGCCACCCCGTGTGCCCAGCTCTCCTTGAAGGCTATGGCCCAGAGGGTGGACATCAGAGTCCCACAGGCAGTGTCTGAGGTGGCTCAGCTGCTGCTGGAGACAGGCTTCTGTCACCGCCAGCAGTCCTGGCTGCCACACCTGCAGTCCCGCCTTCCTGCCTTCAGGCAGAACTGGATTCGCTGCCCTGGGACCCGTGTCCCTGCCTGCCTCCTGTTGTGGGGGATTGTTGGCAGTGCCCGTGGAGGCCTGCTTCCTGGATGCTGCGGGGGCCTTGGGCTGCCCCATGGCCTTGGGGCTGTGGCCTGGGCAGCTCCTCCCTCACTACCGTGACGCCTCCCCGGGCTCCTAGTGCAGGACTTCTGGCCCTGGGTGGGCGCTGGCTAATCCTCCAGGCTCTGGGCCGCGTGGAGGCCAGGTGTGGGGAGCAGCTCCCTCGCTCTCTCCTGGGGGCGTCCCATGGACACGCAGCTGGCTTTTGTGACATGCACTACCCATGGGCGTTTGCGGCCACACTGGTTCTGGAATGTTCTGGCCACCTGGGAGACCGGGACTGTCAAGGGTCTCTTCCCCCTTCCCGCCTCGGGCGTCCATCTGGCGTCTCTGCTCAGTGGGCCCCTGTGCTGTGGTGCTCTGTCTGTCCCCACTTGGCCTCCCCCTCTTGGGTACCGTGCGCAGTGGGTGCCGGCTGACTCAGGGCCAGGTGTGGGTGGACATGCCATGTCCTGCTGTCTCTTGGGGGCCCCCTATGCCCCAGCCCATCGGTGTGCCTGGCCCTGGGAGGAGCCTGCTGGACCTCCTGCCCAGGGGACCAAGGGGACGCTGTCCACTTCTTTCCCGGGGGGCTGCTGGCCCCAACTGCTCCTCATAATTCTCAGGGACGGGGACTTCCCGGGGTAATGCTGCATTGGGCTGAGGGTCTGGGCTTGCTGTGGCCAGGAAACCTGGAGGACCGTGGAGGCGACATCTGGCCAGCTCCTGTGTCCCCTGGCCTCGGGGACAACATCAAGGCCAGGGGACACACCCAGCACTGTCCCAAGCTCTCAGCCCCCAGGGCCTGGCTTTGGCTCAGAGGGAGGACAGGGATGGTGTGGCTCCTGGTTCCGAGGCCTGGGCGCATGTGGGCCTGAGCCTGGTGCTGGGGACAATGTCCCTGTGTCCGTGCGCAGCTGTGGGGGGCGGGAGACGGCCCTCAGACCTCGTCTGCCAGCAGCTGCCAGCTGGAAACCCAGGCTGGGGCCAGCACCTGCTGAGCGCTGACTGTATGCAGGGCCCCCGCCTTCCACATGTTAGTGCCCACCAGGCTCAAGGCTGCCCGGGAGCTGGGGACCGTCTGTCCCCGAGGTACAGATGAGGAAGCAGGCGGGAGAGCGGGGTGCTCTGCTAGTGGGGCTGGAGCTTGGCTCGAAGTGAGTGCGGTGCTGCCTGACCTCAGCCCAGAGGCCCGGCACAGCCTGGGTGTCCAGCACAGGGGCTGCGGAGTCCTGGGGTAAGCTTCCTTGAAGAGCAGCCTAACTGGGGTCAGTGTGCCCCTGCCCACGGCCCGGAGGGCTCTGTCTACCCCCCACGCCCTGCTGGGGTTTCCAAGTGCCCACTGGGCACTTCCCCTGGACGTCGTGAGGGAGAGTCTGCGGGGCCAGGCGGAGTCCTGTTCTTGTTCTCCGGGAGCCTGGTCTGGTGTGTGGCACAGGGAGGTTTCGTGCCCGGGGGGAGGGGTCAGGTGTGCCCAGGGTAGGCAGTGACCTCGTGTCGAGGTGGGCAGGATGCTGACGTGGGGGGAGCAGGCCTGGTGTGGAGGTCCTGGGTAGGCGCCAGCCAGTGCCCTCTTTGGCGGTGACAGCCCTGGTGGCCTAGTGGGAAGCCCTCTTCACGGCCGGAGCAGGGGTGCCGACACCGTGCCCACCTGCACCCTCCTTCTGCACTCAGGAGCGTGGTCTGACGGGCAAGCTGGAGCCTGTGTCGCCCCCCAGCCCCCCGCACGCCGACCCCGAGTTGGAGCTGGTGCCCCCCCGGCTGTCCAAGGAGGAGCTGATCCAGAACATGGACCGCGTGGACCGCGAGATCAGCATGGTGGAGCAGCAGATCTCCAAGCTGAAGAAGAAGCAGGTGTGGGCGGGCCCGGGGGGCCTGGGCGGTCACCAGTGTAGTTGGCAGGCTCCCCACGTGGGGACTCTGGAGCTCGGAGCCCCCAGACAGGAGCTCTGGGTCCCCAGACAGGCTCAGGGGATCCTTAGGAAGGAGCGCGGAGCCCCCAGACAGGAGCTGGGACCTGGTTTGAAGAAAGTCCGGTTCAGGCTCCGTGCCATGCTGGGGCTGTGGGCAGGAGGGCAGAGGGAGGAGGTCAGAGGGCAGATGGTAGGAGGGCAGGAGGCAGAGGGCAGGCTTTTGGCAGGTGGGCGGCTCTCCCCAGCCCTGCCCCCTGGCCTTGGGGTGGGCTGGGGTCCACTGCGGGGCACTTTTCCTCGCCTGCATCTGGTGACAGCCAACCTCCATCTCTGGGCCTCCCAGCTGCCCCCCTGCTAGCCGGGGCCCGTGCCCCACCTCTGGGAGCCTCTGTTTCCTCCTCTGTGAAGTGGGCACAGGCGTGACCCCTGTGGGGTGGGGCAGGTCCCCAGGTCGGGGGCCAGTATGGGGAGCCACAGGAGAAGCCGGTGTGAGACTCACTTTGTGATTTTATTTTAAATCACATTTACTTCAAAGCGAGCGGCTGGCGGGCTTTTGTGGCTTCCCGTGGTCCTCTCCCCGGAGTCAGCTGGTCTCTGCTCAGGTGCCCCTTGGCAGAGAGGACACTGGCCTCTGAGGAGCCCTTGTCCTTGTCCTTGGCCACCTGCGTCCCAGGGCCCTAAGTGAAGTCTTCCTGGCGCAGGGTGGCCGCTCTGTCTGCTCTGCTGGTGGTCCCAGGGCCTTCACCGTGCCCATGGCCCGTGGCCACCTGTCAGCTGGCTGCAGTTTCCCCAGGGGCTGGTGGGGGCCAGGCCTACCCCGTCCTCTCCCCAGTCCCAGGCAGGAGTGGGAGGACAGAGGGCTTCCTGGAAGAAGCCCCATGGGCTGGGCACTTGGTGGGGGAGGCAGGGGGACAGTGGGTTCCAGGGGCCAGTGGTTTTCCGCACGGGAGGGAGGAGGGCAGCGCCAGCCCTGGAAGCCACACCTCTCCTCCCAGGCGTGGTCTGGGGCTGGGGCTGGGCTGAACCACAGCTAATGTGGCAGGAAGCCAGGTGGCTTGGGGACAACCCCCTGCAGTTGGGTTTTGTGTTTTGGTTGTTTCCTAAATTCCACTTGGACTATTTTTTTTTAAGCTGAAATTTCTAAACAAAATCAATCCCTGTGACGTACACAGTCCAGTGGCACTTGGCACACTTGGCCACCCGCTGCCTCATTCCAAGACGTTCCCAACCTCCTGGCAGGAGACCCGGCCCCAGGGTCCTTCCCCACGCCCCTCCCCCAAGCTGGCCATCTGCCCTGTCTCTGTGGCGTGGCCAGCCTCACAGGCCTGTCCTGCCTTTGGTCTCTCTCTCTGGGCATTCCAAGGTCCCTCTGCCTGTGGCACGTGCTGGCCCTCCTTTTCATGGCTGAGTACTACCCCATGCTCGTGCTGTGTTGGCCACCCACGCAGTGACTCTGGCCTGAGGTGGCCGTCCTGGGTGGGGCTGAGTGTGCTGGAGTGTGTCTGCATGGCTGTGCGTCCCTGCGGGTGTCGCCCTGGAGTGGAGCTGGGTCACCTCCTGCCTCTGGGTGTAACTCAGAGGAATTTCCAGGCCGTGTTCCATGGCAGTTGCGCCATTTTCCGCCCCGGCCGTGTGAGGTTCCAGCCTTTCCACATTCCTGCCCGACGCTGTGATTTTCTTTTTTAAGAAGGCTTTGATTCCGGCTGTCGGGGTGTGCAGGGCTCTTCTGCTCTGGGTCCACTTGCTGGAGGCAGCCGGTCTCTGGCCCCTGCCCCGGGCTGTGCGTTGCTTTCTTTGATCCTCCAAACAGCCTCTGAGGTGGCGCTGCTGCTACTGGTTTCCACTGAAGAAGACACTGAGGGTCAGAAGAGGGAGGTGACTTGTATGAGCAGGTCACCGAGACCCAGTGTGGGCAGCAGGGAGCCCAGCTTGACCGAGGCTTGGTGTCCTTGAGCCGTCTTCTTGGGTCTTCCTTCGTGTCTCCTCTGCTTCTCTCTGGTGCCTGCGGTGGGCCGCCTTTGCTGGCCGGGACACTGCCCACCCTCTCTGGTGCTGCTCTGGAGGGGGCCTCTGAGGGACGGGGACAGCACGGCTCCCCCGGTCTTTTGTGCCAGTGAAGTGGGGTGCTGGCTTTCTGGCTGTATCTGCCTCTGCTCTCCTGGGCTCCTGGGTGCACACAGCCAGTCCCTCGGTCACTGCAGCTGTGTGGCCTCTAGAGCAGAGCAGGGCCATATTGTGACGCTATGACTCGGGCTTCAAGCTCCCTGGCCTCATCTCCCCTGCGGCTCTAAGGGACACTCTGTCTGGTACTTGCAGGGGGCTGTGCTGGGCAGACTGGGGCAGAGGACAGGGCCCTGACCGGCACCTGGCAGCCCTGCAGGCGCAGGGTAGAGGCAGAGAAAGAGAAGAGAGGCTCAGAGAAGTCCAGCCACTCCCCGAGGCTGCACAGCAAGTAGCCTTCAGGCTGGGCCTTGGCTCAGGCTGTGGCCCACTGACTGCCACAGCTGTGGGACCGTGGGGGACCGAGGCTTGGCCGGCGGGGCCCAGCCTCCGCTCCCCTCCTGGCCCCGCTCTGAGGGGCAGGAGCCCTGGGGGACGTGGGGCGCTGCTGGGTTCCCGGCCCAGCCCTGAGCTCACCCTCGCTCTCGCCCACAGCAACAGCTGGAGGAGGAGGCCGCCAAGCCGCCCGAGCCCGAGAAGCCCGTGTCACCCCCGCCTATGGAGTCCAAGCACCGCAGCCTGGTGCAGATCATCTACGACGAGAACCGGGTACGCGGAGGTTGGGGGTGGGGGTGGAGGCCAGCGGTCACCAGCTCGCACAGCCTCTGGGTGACTAGAGGGGCGCAGTATGGACAGCCAGGCCAGCTGCAGTGGGCATGCAGTGGCCACTCTGGGCGCCCCTGCAGAGCCAGTTCCTGCAGCACAGACTGTCAACCCTGTGTCAGCGACAACAGCCAGTCTGTGTCACCCACCTCCACCCGGACGCTCTTTCCCTTGGTGGACCTGGGAGGGTGGGCACAGTTGCTGTTTCCCTTTTACACATGGAGACTGAGGCCCAGAGAGGTTGAGTGATTTGCCCAGAGTCACACAGCCAGGATGTGGAGGGTCTGGGGTTGGAATCCCTGGGCGAGGCCTCTGGTGATTTGGCCTCCACTGTCCCTGCCCCGGGATGAGCCCTTGAGTGATGGAAGCACAGGGTCAGGGACCCTGGGAGGGGCACCTGCCGGTGTCTAAGGAGGCTTGGTGCTGGCAGGAGGCTGGGGGTGCCCAGAGCCGGGGTCTGTGGGTCTGGAGCCCAGGAGCTGCTGCCTGAGGTGTGGCCTCCTCTTTGTGGGCAGTGGGCTCTGGGCTGTCCTAGTCGCCTGCTGGGAGCCAGGCTGGGCTCATCTGCACCTGACCCCAGATGTGCTGGGTTAGGCTGAGCCCAGCCTTCCTTGTGCTACGGATGAGGAGACTGAGGCTCACAGGGGAGCCGTCCCTCCTGAGGCCACACAGCGGTGTGTGGGGGTGGGTACTGCCCTCCCCTGCCCTCCCCTGCCCTCCCCTGCCTCTCCTCTCAGCCCAGCCTTGGCCTCCCTTGGGTCACCTCCTCTGTGGGCCGTGCTCGGGGTGGGGCATCTCCTGCTGCTCTGTGTCCGCCATTTGGCTCCGCCATGTATGCAGGGTGAGCCTGATCCTGGGGGCCTGGAAGCTGCCCCGCGTGCCCTCCCACCCGGGTCTCTGACCACAAGCAGCACCAACGGAGATCACATTGACGAAGGCTGTGGCCACGTGTCCTGCCAGCTGTCCTGGTGCAGGCCCACTGTCCTCTCTGCGGCTGCACCTCCCTGGCCCCTTGTCCCTCAGTGGACGTTGGCTGTGGAGTGCTGTGGTCGGGACATGTCCTCTGCAGCCCTCTGGTCTTGGGGTGACACAGTGACAGTTATGTACTTCACTCACGGAGCCTGAGGCCCAGAGAGAGGGAGTCCCTCCCGGCAGGGCCCAGCCTGTCACCTCTTGCACGCCCTGCCTGGGCCTGGTGGGACAGCAGGGTGGCTCTGTCCAGCAGCTGCCTGTGGTCGGGGGCGACGGGTGCCCTCAGTCCCCTGCCTGGGCGCCTGCCCAGCGCCTCGTGCTGTCACTCTCTCTGGCTCTCGTGTCAAGCGTGCCCTTTCCAAGGACGTCCCTTTGGCCCTCTGCTTGATCCTGAAAATCTTTCAGCACCATTTCCTCTCCTGACTTCCCCGGGCTCCTCAACCCGTGTCCCTGCGGGATATCACTTGTGTGTGTGTGTCTCCTCTTGGTGGGGAGCAGAGCTCCCTGAGGGCAGGGTCTTCATCTCACTCCAGCTGTGCTCAGCTAACACTCGTGGGATCACTGCAGGGAAGGTGGGAGGTGCCCGGGCCTCCCCTAGAAGAGTCCTCTGATCTTGGAGTGTGGGGCTGTTGGGGTCTTTCTGTCTGGGCCGAGCCTGGGAAGCTGGTGACCTGGCAGGCAGGAGGCCCTCGGCCACCTTTGGCTGAAGCAGCCAGGGCTTGGTGGCCCTCGGGGATCAACAGGATTAGATTCCACCCCGCCCCCCCTCCCTGCTGGTTCTTCCATGTGGCGCAGGATCAGGGTCGGCTCTAAACGCCAAGCCAGCGGAGCACACAGCTGCCCCCGGCCTCTCTGAGCCTGGACGCTGGCTTATCATCCACTCATAGCACGTCTGTGGGCACCGCTGGCCGGCTCTGCCTGCCTCCCGGGAGTGTGTGGGCAGGCGGGCGGCAGGTGACAGGGGCAGGGGCCGAGAGGGAGGCAGAGCCTGGCTGCATGGCGGGGGCAGGGAAACCTGGCAGTGGGTGGGCTAGGAGGAGGGTATCAGGCCCCAGCTCGGGGCTCGGGTGGGGCCTGGAGGTGGGATGGGGCTGGCAGGGGCAGGGCCAGGGCCAGGCTCTCCACAGCTTGGTGCCCTTGGGGTTCGGGCCGCAGGGAGGCCAAGGGGAGGCCGGGGGCGGCAGCAGAGGCCTCCCTGGAGGGCACGGGGAAGGGAGCTGGCCTGATCCAGGCAGGCCACGTGGCTGGGCTATCCCAGGGTGAGGAAGAAGGCTGGTGGACAGCCCGCCCGCTCAGCCAGGGGGACTCTGCCTCAGGCTAGGGCTGCACCTGGGGATCCCAAGGGACCGGGCTACTCACTATGGGGTTGGACTCGTGAGTGTGTTCATGTGGCCTGTGGGGGTCTGTGACGCCCAGGAGCACCCTGTCCTAGTTCACGGGGGCAGGAGGAGTGGTCAGCTCTGACCAGCACATCCTGGCACCTCGCGAGCAGGGCCAGTATTGAGTGCTGACTGTATACCAGGACCAGCATTTGAGAGGCCGGGGGACTGTGCAGGGGCAGGCGGGCTGCAGATGTGAGTCACTGAGCTGCGCAGGGCTGCTCGGGTGAATGGGGGCTGGACCTCTCCTCCCCAGGTGCGTCCAGGCCAGGGCTGGGAGACAGCAGGTTTCCCCTCCTCCCTGGTAGGGGTCCTGCGCTTGGGCCCCTCGGGGCGAGGGTGGGGCTCTGGGGCTGGGAGCCAGAAGCACCTTTCAGCAGTGAGGGTGCCCCAGAGCCCGGGCCCCTGTGCCAGGTGCCCTGTCCCCAGTGCCCCTGCGCCAGGTGCTGAGACAGCAGGTTGTCCCACAGCCCCACCATGGGACCTAATGGGGGGGCCCTACAGGGATCCACACGCTGTCTGCAGGAGCAAGATGCAGCAGAGCCAACGGGGTGGAGGCCTGGACAGGGCAAGACTGGAGGGGCACTGGCCCTGTGGGCGCCAGGCAGGCCGTGCTCAGGTTCGCAGGAAGCTGCAGGAGCCGAGGCTGTCTTGGGAACAGGCTGTAACTGTGGCCTGGACCCTTGTTCCCAGGGGAGTCCCTTTCTGGGACTGGGGTGTCTCCCCTCGTCTAATGAGGGAAGTGACGGTGCTCATGTCACTTTGTCCCTTATGAAAGCTATGGTGTTTGGAGCCCAGAGCAGCGTGGCTCACAGGATGCAGGCTTCTCGAGTCCCCGGGTTCTGTACGCGCCCTGAGGCGCAGGCCTGGCCGTGTGGCCCCCTGTGCTGGGCCTCCCTTTTGTCCAGAGGGTGAGCACAGACCCCACAGGCCTGTGGCACTGACCCCTGAGCCTCCGGTGCTTGGGTGCACTGGCCTGCCCTGTCCCTGCCACTCGCCCGCCCTGGCCAGCCTTTCTCGTCCTGGCCGTGGGTTCTGTGCATCTCGCATCTCCAGGGTGTGTCCAGGGCAGGTGGGCTGCAGGGGCCCTCAGGGTGGTCCCTGCCTCCCAGGCCCAGGGCCTCCCCAGGACATGGCCACCCTGCCCAGAGCCCGGTGGCGAGGCCTCTTTCTTCTGCCTCCGGCGTGTTTCCCATTCCGCCAATGGCGCGGTGGCATTTCTGGGCCTGGCTGGGTGTTCTTGGTGGCGGGAGGCTCAGCAGGACGTGGTCACCTCCCAGGCCGTCCCTGCCTTCGGGCCTTGGCCTGCGGAGGCTGCTTCTCTTGGGACTTGGGCTTCCCGTGGGCCTGCTGGGCTGGCCTGGGCTCAAGACATGTCATTCCAGATGCCAGCTTGAGGCCACCTGCAGGCCCATTGCCCCGCTGATGTGCACCTGCCCCAGGCATAGCCTCCCAGCAGTGTCCCCCGGAGCGCCACGTCACCTGTCGTCTTCAGGGACAGTGTGTTGACTGGCTCAGGTGGCTAGTGCTCCTGGCCCATGCTGAACCTGGATGCTGCCAGGGCTGGCCCAGTCACAGGGTGGGACACCCCTGGTCCTCATGTGTGTGACCTGACGTCTGATGCTTGGGGTCTGTCTCGGGGCTGCTGGCTGTTGTCCCAAACCTGCTGTCCAGAGTGCTGGACAAGTGCTGCCCCTGCTGTCCCCCACGGCCCGGGAGGCTGCCTCCCCGGGTCCCCTGCCCGCCCTCCTCCATCCTCCCTGTCTAGGCTGACCGTGCTCCGGGCCTCCTGTGAGCAGGACTGTGGTCCCAGGCTGGGGCTGGTGGCCAGACCTGGGCACAGTGTGGCCTTCATGGCCAGCCTGTTGAATTAGCATCCAGAGCCCTCTCCGCTGCGTGTCCCCATTTTCCCCATAAGTCCTGGGCTGTGACGGAGGGAGGCGGGAGGCCCAGGAGTCACGTGACTAAGGCCCTGGACTCTTAGAGGGCGGCCTGGCCAGCTCCCTGGGCAGAGGCTGGAAGGACCCGCACTGGTGCCACCGCCCGGGAGGGGTGGTGGGTGGGCATGCTGCAGGGGCTTCAGGCCCAGGCCAGGTGGGCTTGCGGGCGCTGCTGTCCCAGCCTGGGGTTTTGGTCCCGGTCCCTCCCCAGGCTGTGGGCCAGCGTGCTGGGAGGGGCACTGCCTGCCCCGGAGGCCTCGCTCACAGTTTCTTCTGTCTCCCCCCCACCCCTTTTCGTCCCTGCAGAAGAAGGCCGAGGCTGCCCACCGGATCCTCGAAGGCTTGGGACCCCAGGTGGAGCTGGTGAGCGGGCCGGGCGGGTGGCAGGGCTGGGGCAGGAGGAAGTCGGCCCGGGCAGTGGGCAGCGGGCTTTCGTCAGGGAGGCAGGAAGCGCCCTCCTGATAAGAGGCTGGCAGATAGTGCGGGCAGTGAGCGAGCTGGGCTTCCTCTGGGCTCGAGTGGCCCCTGCTTCCGGCCGAGCATCGAGGTTCCTCTCTGGGCGCGTGGTCTGGGCTCAGCTCCCAGGGTGCCCTCGATGGCTGTGGCTGTGGCTGGCGCCTCACCCTGTCTGTGCTTCAGTCTCTTCACCAACCCCTGGGCACCTGAGGGTGGCTGCCCACCTGGGCACTGTGGCACAGGCCCACCTGGGGTGGCACGCAGGTGGCTGCTGTTCCCAGGGTCAGGCTCACGTTGCTGCCGGGCAGGTGCAGATCTGGGTCTCCTGGGCTTGGGGTGGCTGAGAGCAGAAGGCTAGCCCTGGGGGAGCCCCGGGCGCCCGCTGCCTCCACCCGTTGGGACCCCTGGTGCCGTTGGTGGGACCCGACGGTGGAGGTGGTGGGGGTGGGGACGCTGTGGGCCCCACGTGCAGTGGTAGCTGGGGGGCTCTGTGCCAGGGCGGGAGTGAGCCTGTTGGAGTCTCCTGAGTGCAGCGAGGTCTGGCCCCTCCTGGGGCAGGCTCCTCCGCACCATGGGGCTGGGGTGGCCCAGGTCAGGGGTGGGACCCAGGGTCCAGCGCTGAGGCCTGGGAGGGCTCTGGGTACAACCTTGGCCTTCATGAGCCTGAGCCATGGAGGGGGCAGAGAGCATCTGTGCACCTGGTTTCTTACTGGTGGCCCGTGTCATGCGGTGAGGGCTGCCCATCCCCAGAGCTGGGACCCTGCTCCTGCTACTGGGCACACATTCACAGGTCACTCACAGGTGAGGACAGGACACCTGCGACCAGGTCTCTGGTGTGCCTCCAGAGTGTACACTGCCACCAGTCGGTCCCCATGTGGATGTCCCCCACGTGGAAGGGTCGCCCTCTGTGCGCGGCTCTGTGTGTCCACGCCCCATAGTGCAGCCCTGTGTGGCCTTGGCCCGGCCCTGTCCCTCTTCCCGGGCCTCTGTGCCTTGGGGCTGGGCCACTGCCCTGGGCCTCCATGCCTGGATCTCGCTTGGCGTTTGGAGCAGGTCTTGCTCTCTGGCCACTGTGCACGGAGCTGCCCTGGGCAGCTGTCCAGGGTCATGTCTGTCCGCTCTCTGCCTGGGTGCAGCTGACCATCCCCAGGAATCCCCTGGCCTCGGGCGGCTGCACTGTCTGCATCTCGCCTGGGAGCTGCACCTCGCCTTGGTGTCCCAGATGGCCACTGTGGTCACTTCTGACACCAGGCTCGCCTTCTTTCCTGCCGAGTCTCCAGGGCTCCTGGGCCGTCCCACTGTGGTGTCGGGCACACGGTGAGGACCCAGGGACAGGTCTGCGTGGCTGTTGGGGACGTCGCTGGGCCCCAAGCTCTGAGCGGGTAGTGCTGGGAGCACAGCTTCCCCGGGAGCCCGGCTAGCCCTGGCCGAGGCCGGGCACAGGCTCCCTGAGCTGCTGCACTGCCAGGTTGTTCGCCTGAGTCCCTTTGGGAACAGTGGGCCCTGTGTTGGTCTCTGGGGACAGGGCACCCACTGTGTGTCAGGGCCTGTGGATCGTCCCTGTTCCCGTTTCCTGGGTTGGCCTCAGAGGACAGTGCCCAGGCCTGGGTGGCACAGCAGGAGGTGGGGCTGGGAGATGCCCGGGGGTCTGCACGGGCTGTGCCCTGCCTGTTCTTGCCTTGCCCGGGGTGTCTCTAGGCAAGGTGGGTGGACGCTCCGCAGGGCACAGTGCCCACTTTGTGCCGGAAGCCTGGCCAGGCTGGCCTGCCGCCCTCCAGGGGCCACAGCCCTGGGACCCAGCTCTTCCCCCGACCGTGGGGTGCCGCGGGGCCGTGGGCACATCCCGCCTGTGCCCTGTGGGTCTCTGTGGCTGTGCCTGGTGCTAGGTGGCCTGTGGCCTCTGGAGCAGGTGCTGGTTCAGGGAAGAGAGCGAGCCCTGGAAAGGAGTCTGGGAGGTAGCATCCGGGCTCTGGGGCCCGGTGCCCGGAGTGCCCAGTGGGCACTGGGGACCCTGTTGGGGGCGGGGGGGCCGGGCAGCAAGGGGCAGCGTGGCTGGCCTGCTCTCTCTCTGCTCGGAGGTGTAATTGTAAGAACCTGGTGTTGCCAGGCCTTCGGGCGGGGCTGGCCCTTCCTACCTGCCCAGTGCTGGGGCCCCAGGCTCCTCTTGCTGACCTGAGCGGGGCCAGCTTTCCTCTCAGGACCCCCTGGATGCCTGCTTCTGCCCAGGGCCTCCTCCCTCCTGCCCTCCTCTGCCCCATCTGCAGAGAAGCCGGCGGGCCTCTGGGGACTGTCCCCTCGCCTTCCCTGGGGCTGTGGGGACGTGCTGCCAGTGGCCCTGACAGGACAAGGGCCTTGGCCAAAGGTCACATGCTCTACTGAGGGGGTGAGGGTGGTGGGGTGTCTAGTGGCCCTGCCCTCCCGAGTCCTTGTCCTTTCCTGTCCCTCCTGTCCCTGTTGGTGAGGTGACAAGGCTGCTCCTGAGGTCCCCTGGCCCTTGTTCGTCTCAGGGAAGATGGGGTTCTCTGAGCCACAGGGCCCCGAGGGTCAGGCCACCTGTCCCCTCTCCAGGCGGGGCTGCCTGTCACCCTGCTGCCCTCCTGTGGGCCTGCACCTTGGGCCCTGCACCTTGGGCCCTGTTGCCCTCCTGGCCCCTCCAGCCGAGGACCACCACCCCACAGTCAGAACGTCCCTGTCAGGAGCGCCCCGTGCCCCCGTCCGACCTCCCAAGGAGGAGACAGGCCCAGGGTGGAAGGCCCTCGTCCGCGTCACTGTGTGAGCTAGGGACGTGGGAGCGGGATTCAAATCCAAACCCAATTTGAGCTGCTGGTCACCTTTAGCTGGCCTGTGCGTCATTCGTGTGTGGAGAACAGAAGGACCAACACAGGGCCACTCAGGTTCCAGCGTGAGCTTCTTTATATGTCCCCATGCGTTCCTGAGATGAGGATCCTCAGCCTTCTGTAGGAGTGTTTTACCCCTTCTCTCTACTAGGAAGTTCTGTACTATGTCTGACCACAGACTCTACTGCCCTGTTCATTTGCCCTCCCATTCAAAACTGCAGGCTTGGGCTGGGGACCTCTTGGTCTTGAGCTGTGTGCCATGGGGAGATGGCCCTGTAGCTGCAGGGAACCCCCTCTGTCCCCAGGGAGTGGCTAGGCCTGGGACTGCCTGAGTGTGGTGGTGGATTGCCATGGGGACAGGCGGGGGCAGTGGCCACTGCCCAGGGTGCACAAGGCCCCTCCCTTGACGCCGTCCTGTCCATCTCTGTCTGTGGGCAGCAGGAATCCTGGCCCTGGGGTGGGGAGGAGGGGACTGTGGTCCTGCTGCCTGGGGCTCCGGGGTTGTCGGACAGTTAGTGTCCCAGGGAGTGTTCAGCCCCTCCCCAGGGACAGCTCCCTTGGGGACCTGTGTGCCCTGTCCACTGCCCTGAGGCCCCAAGACCCCACGTCTCCTTCCGCCACCTGACCTGCCTGCCCTCTCCCACTGTACCTTGTCCCTCTGGTCCAGAAAGGCAGAGTCGCCCCTAGGGGAGCGTCATCTGTGGAAGCCCTGGGAGGGCCCTGCTGTGTGCGGGAGGGACAGACAGGGACAGACTGGAGGGGCTGTGGGTCTGGTCAGGCTCCTTCCCCGCTGGGTGCCCTGAGCCATGCCGCGGGACAGAGCAGCCCAGGTTGGCGTCGCCACGCTGCAGCCACTTGCTGTCCCTCCAGCGCAGAGGCCACCTGGTGCCAATGAGGGTCTGTCTCCCTTCCGCGGTCAGCAGGAGACGGCTGGTCTTCGGCTCAGCCCCCCCTGCTCTGCTGGTCCCCCTCCAGCTGGCCAGCGGCCTGTGCTCTGGATGGGGCGGCAGTGCCCGCTTGGTTTCTCCTGCTGTCCACTCTGTCCCACTGGTCACTGCAGGCCAGGGGCTGGGGACACACGGGACACTGGTGCGATTCACACAGTCCATCCCGACACGGATGGTGACACTGCTGCTCCTCAGGCCTGGCAGTGGCCATGTGCTAGCCTCAGAGCCCGGGACAGTGCCTTACTTGACCTTCACTGCGACCCTGACCTTGAACCCCATTCTACCTGTGAAGCAGATGGCAGCCATGGGACAAGGGACCCGCCCCCAGGGCTTGCCTCCCTCCTGCCCTCCTCTGCCCCATCTGCAGACCCCCGCTGGGGTCGCAGGGCAGCAGCTCAGCCCTGCCGCCTGCCTGGCGCTCTGGGTGGTCTCGCGTCCCCGTGTCCTGCTGTCCCTGAGTGTCGGTGCCTGGCTCATCCAGCTCGGTGCTCTGAGGTGCCGTGGGCCACCCAGCTCCTCGAGGCTCGTGGTGGGAGCGCTCGGGGTGCCCAGGTAGCAGCAGGGTCCTCGCCTTTCTGGGCAGCGAGCCCATGCGGCCACTGCCCAAGCCTTGCCCTTGGCCCACATCCTGGCTGCCCGGCACTACCCTTGCTGTGGCCCCGCACACCTTGGAAGGGGAGGCTCCTGGTGGAGGAGCCTTGGGTCTCTGTGGTGACCGAGGAGCTGGGCGTCCCCCTGCTCGGTGGCCATGGTTGGCCCTGGCCCCTCAGGGTGTGTGGCTTTCCCTGGGGCCCTGGCCCCTCCAGAGCAGCCGTCAGCCTGTGGGTGGGTGGGGGTCACCGGGCCCAGAGGAGCCGGTCATGGTCTGTTCCTGGCCGGGCTGAGGCCAGGTCCCCATGTTTCCATTGGGCCTGTGGGCAGCTGTTCCTCACCCTGGGGCCCTGGGCCCTGTGGACAGGGCTGCCTGGGGCTGCCCGGGGCTGACTGGGGCTGACTCTGCTCTCTCCTTGCAGCCGCTGTACAACCAGCCCTCGGACACCCGGCAGTACCACGAGAACATCAAGATGTGAGTGTCTGCCGGGCAGGGCCTCGCTCCTGCTGGGGTGACTACAGGACCATGGGCTGGGGAGGTGGACAGGAGGCAGATGGGGCCAGAGCTCTGGGCCGGGTGGGTCCGGGGGAGGCTCAGCAGATGTGGGTGTGGGAGGTCGGTGGCCTGCAGACCTGGGTGGGTCCACAGGCGGGGATGGCCGGGGCACAGGCCTGTTGGGCCCCCAGGACAGGGCCTCCTCCCAGCTGTCACAAATTGGACATGGCCAGGGCCAGGACTGTGCGGGAGGCTGATGTCTCCAAGCCAGAGCGCGGCCGGGGAGCCGTGGTGCCGGAGGCTGGCTGGATCTCCGGTTGCATTAATGGGAGCACGGCCTCCTGGGCCATGGAGGAGCTGTTTCCTCCTTCTGTCACCAGGAACCTATACAGTACAAGTTTGAGGCGCAGGTGGCCGTGGGAGTGGTGGGGGGGTAGGTTGACAGCGTCTCTGGGGTTGCAGTGTTTTGGGACTTGAAGAGTTCATCTCTGAGGGGACGCACGGAGCTCACATGTGGCCTCAGGAGGTTCGGGTCGGGTGGCCCAGGGAGGTGCCACTCGTCCGTGGGGAGGCGCGGGTGCCGAGCTGCCAAGCGCCAAGCTGCACACCTGATGGCTTAGAGCGTCCACCAGTGCTGGGCCTGTTGACGTGGGGCCTCTTGTAGTTGGGCTGCCAGTGGGACTGGTGGTATCACCAGCTGTCCACCCTGCTACAGCCTGCAGGGACCAGAGCCGCCGGAAGCCTCCCCTTCCCAGTCAGTGGGGCTCCGGCAGCAGTGGACAAGGACACAGCGCCTTGCCCCGTGTCGGGAGGGTGGCCAGTGTGGCACCGCACACCACGTCCCTCGGGGGGTGGGGACTGCCTGGGCTCCACAGTGTCCCCCACAGCTGTCCAGACTTTCAGCAGCCTCCTGGGCCCTGCCTGCTGGTACACTGGAGAGGGAGTGGGGAGGCCGGGGACACTCCCTTTCCCAGCCGGTCTCAGAGACTCAGTGGACAGCACACAGGCCGTGCCCCTGCAGCTCTGCCCTGATCCCCTGGTGGGAACCAGTGGTCCCCCTTGCTGGGCATGCGCTCTGCCCGAGTCCCGTCCCTGGCCGTTTCCCCTCTGACGTGATTTTTGATAGCAGTAATGTTAAGGCAAAGCGCTGACGTAATTTTTGTCACTTAAAGTGAGAGACGTTTTAGGTGGAATCACGTGGGTGACCACAGGTTGTGAGAGCAGCTGTGGAATCCAAACCCAAAGGAGCCCAGTGCCCCGGGCAATGTCACGAGGCCCACTGGTCTTTGCTCAAGGAGAGTGGACGAGGCTCGGCCTCACAGTAGCTCGGGTCTCCCTGAGGCCGCGGCGTGGGTGCCTGTGAGTAGGTGAGTGACTGACCTTGGCCTCAGGACCTCGGGGTTTTTCATGTTTTCCACCAAGAGTGTCATTGGTGTCCAGTTTCAGGGAGGTCGTCATGAGGTCAGTGCGGTCATTCAGTTTAAACAGAATTGTAAGAAGGTAGAAGACGGTGGCAGGAGTGGGCAGCGCCACTTTGCTGGAGAAGTCAGGCAGGATAGTTGGGACCCTGGGGGCTGAGCAGCAGCTGGCTGTGTGGACCACCAGGGTCGGAGCCTCTAAGCAGGGGAGGCAGTGCAAAGGCCCTGGGGCCACACAAACTGGCTGGCAAAGGGCAGAGAGGCCAGCCCCACGCTGTATTCCCTGAAGCGTTTTGCTTGGATTTTTGTTTCCAACTTCATTTTGGTGGCCACAGGGAGGAAGGGCCTGGGTGTAGGGGGACTTTTGGAAAGCCTCTGCAGGAGCCACGGGGGACATGTGGAGGCCCAGGGGATGCCCAGGTCAGGGCTGGACACTGGCAAGGGCAAAGCCACCTCTCCAGGGAGGGTGGGTGGCACAGGCCTGTTGGGGACCAGGAGCACTTGGCTGCCGGAGTCAGGGAGACCTGTGTGCGCAGCCCGAGCGTGGACTATTGCTGGAGCCTGAGGGACAGTGAGGCCCGGCGGGGACAGACGAGGTGTGTCCTTGTCACCAGCTGCACTGGGTCGGGGTCCATCCGCAGTCACGGGTCTCAAGTGCACAGTGGCTCTGCTGAGCTGTGTGCTTCCTGCGTCCGTCTCAGAACGCGCACGCCCACCTGCCCTGTGCTCCTGGCCAGCGCCCCGCATGCCCGCCGCCTCCGCAGACCCGTTTCCTGTGGCCCTGGCTGGGCCTCCCCACAGCGTGTGGGCTGGAGGTGGGTGCAGGTGGGTGCCGCTGGGTGGGGCTGCCCAGCTCTGAAGGGGCGGGGGGGCGGCTGCCCGGCCTGGGCGCTCCCAGAGGCCTGGGATTGGGCCACGTGGCCCAGAGGCTCTGGAAGGAAAGGCCACATGTGTCCAGGGTGGAGGACAGGACCCCCACCCCACCCTGGCCCGTGGTGTCTGTGGGATCGTGGCTGAGCTTTGTGATGAGCCCTGGGGCCTGGCTTCCCAGGCTGCCTGGTGGGAGGGGCAGGCTCCCAGTGTCCAGCCAGGGCAGGAGTGTGGGGCAGCGGGGCCCTGAGGGCAGGAGGAGCCCTGGGGAGTCGCGGCCTGGTGGGGTGGTGAGCCCTGCGGCTGGCCTGTGGGTCCAGCTGGGCCTGTGGACCAGCAGCCAGCGCGGAAGCTCCAGGGCTGGGCACCTGAGGTCCGCAGCACGTGTCGCCAGTCAAATTGTTGTGACAGGAGCATGTGGCTTCAGGGACAGTTGCGTGCCGGGTGTGGGTGGCCCTGGGGGCCGCCAGCTGGGCCGAGGTCTCAGGCCCCAGCGGCCCGAGTGCGTCCTGTGGCACATGGTCACTCTCGGCCTGTGGGACGGGGAGGCGGGTCTGGCCACTGGTCTCCTGCAGAGGCGGGAGGCACTCCTGGTCCTTCATCCAGCAAATGTCCGTGAGTCCCTCCTGCTGCCAGGCCTCTTCTAGGCCCTGGGGAGACGTCGGTGGCTGAGCCTGACTCTCTGTGGGGGACATGGACATGAGCCCACACGCACAGGGCATGTGACGGGCGTGACAAGGATGGTGAGACCGTCCAGCTGGGGTCCGAGGGAGCCCTGAGCCCCTCCCGGTCTCGTTGCACTGCCCGCCGTGTCCCTGCGGCCAGGGTTGCTTCAGGGTGGGTGGTTGTCCCTCCCCAGGGCCTGGTCTCTGTCCCTATAATGTCCCCGTGTCTGTGTGCTGGCCACGGAGTCCAGTCAGTCTCACGCTTGGCCTCCTGCTGCATGACAGTCGGACGTGGCGAGGCCACCTGAGTGCTGCCCGCCCGTGCACCTGCCCGGAGGTGTCGGGTGGCTCTCCACAGGCCATGGGCACCTGCTACCAGGGTGGGCATCAGACCTCTGAGACCTGGGGACGCAGGGGAAGGGGCCTCGGTGGTCATCCCATCAGGGTGGGCCCGGCCCTGGGCAGGACGTGCTGGGATGGTCCTAGCCACATGCACTGGTGTCCTGTGGAGCCAGTGGAGACCCCATGAGGGGTGCAGGGCCGGCCAGGCACAGGCAGCTGTGGTGCTGGGCGTGCCTGGCCTCTGCCTCTGCCTCTGCCTGGCCTTGGGCACGGCTTACCTCGCACGCGTCCAGCCTTCCCCGGCAGGCGCCGTTCTTGGTCCCTGGGTCCCTGGGTCCCCTGGGGTCTGTAGGGCTGCCGGTCCCTTCTCTGCCCTGTCTTACTGTCCTGCAGCCTGGCTGCCCCACTGGGGTGTAGGGAAGGGAGAGGTCAGGAGCCAGGGTCCATCCACAGGCCCCCTCCTGAAGCCCAGGGGCTCCTGATGGTTGGGCCCCTTCAAACCCCGACTCTCCCAAGGCCCTGGGCTGCCAGTTGCTTCCGCACCTTCCCAGCTGCCTGTCCAGCCCCGACCTGGACCGTGGCTCCTCCTCCGTCTCCGCCTTGTGGATCTCCCTCCTCCTTTCTGCAGGGACCATGTGTGCCCACCGTAGGACCTTTGCATCTGTAGTGCCTGCTCCACAACCAGGTCCCTCGGGTCAGCACCATCCCTGGGTGGCCTTCCTGGCCCACTCTGGGTGCTCTCCAGCTGTCACCATTCGGTTCTGGAAGCCCTGGGTATCCTGACCGTCCTGCCCACTGGGCCCGGCACCTCTCGTGGCACCTCTGCGTGGGCCTGGGGCTGCATCCGCCCTTGCCCACGAGGCCCCCTCGTGGAGGGCAGTGCTAGGCACAGAGTCCGTGAAGAGTTGGTGGACGGGGATGAGCTTGCGAGGCCGTTGGTCTTGTTTCTCAGATGAGGAATGAGGCTCTGGGAGCCTCTGAGATGTGCTCAGAGACACTGTCATGGGGCGGGGCTCGGGTCCCCATCCTTGTGCCCAAGGACACCCCAGGACTGGCACTGGCCGTGGTGGGGGTTGGCTTGAGGTGGACCCAGGATGATTGGGAGGTGAACCTGTGTGGAGCCCCGCTGGCCGGTCAGTGCCTGGGCCCCTTCCCCTTGCCAGGCAGGGCCTGAGCCACCACGAGGCACCCGCGAGTGGCTGTGGGCATGGGGCCTGGCCACTTGGGTTGAGAGGACAGGGGAAGTGGGAACCCTCCAGGAGGGGCCACCGCCCAGCTTGCTGGGCCTGCCCGGGACTCCTGGGGACTCCTGGGGACTTGCCAGCATCGCCACCCCCCTGCGCGAGCCGCCCCTGCCCTCCGACCCTGGGTCTCCTCCTGTCTGTCTGTCTGTCTGTCTGTCTGTCTCCCTCTCTCTCTGTCCCATTTCCCCAGGTCTGTCCTGGCACCTGCCTGGTTGGAGGCCTCTCCTGTCCCCTCTGTCCCTGCTGGCCCTGTCTCCTCTGGGCTTGGCCTCTCCGGCCCTCCCTTGCCCCACTCCTCTTGTCCCTCTCTGCATCGTCCGGGGGGAGACCTGCTTCCCTGTCTGCAGGGTGTGTGGCCTGCTGGCTAAGTCCCTTCCCATCCGCCCGCCCTGCTATGCCATGTTGTGCCCACTCTGGAGCACAGGACAAGAGTCCTGGGGCGCGGGCACCGGGGCTAAGCCTGGGACCTGCCTATGCAGGCAGGCCTCCCAGCCTCCGGGCCTCCCAGCCTCCGGGCCTCCCTGTCTCCGGGCCTCCTCCCTGCCTTGGCTCCTGGTCTGAGGCAGTGGGTGTCTCTCTGGCAGATTTTCTGTGGACAGGTTTGGTGACAGGCCACGGGGACCTATGTGTGTGTGTGTGGGGGTGACAGCAGCTCAGGAGGGGGAGGAGGTCACAGGCCCTTTTTCTGCTGACGGCGCTCAGCTTTATGGTGCAGGCACCCTGGTGGGGGGCAGGATGGGCTGAGTGTTGGGGGTGCGCTGGTCGGGGGGTCTTCCCCCTCACTGAGACGCAGCCTGGGGCCCACCTGGGCTGCTGCTCAGACCCAAGCTGGGCTGGGGTGGGACCTGGGCTGGCCCCGGTCGGCCCCCGTGCTCACTGTCCCTGCCGTCTCCCTGCAGAAACCAGGCGATGCGCAAGAAGCTGATCCTGTACTTCAAGCGGAGGAACCACGCTCGGAAGCAATGGGTGAGCGGGCGCCTCAGAGTGCAGGCCACGCGCCACACCTGCCGGCCCTTCTGGCCCTGCAGCCACCTCACGACCAGAATCTGGGCTGTGGAAGGACAGCCAAGGACAGCCAGGGCCACGGGGCAGCCCCCTGAGGGCAGTCCCTGGGGGCAGCAGGTGGCCTGCGCCTCCCTTCCATCCTGCCCCAGGCAGCGGGTGGCCAGGCCCCATCAGGAGACCCTGCTGGGTCTGGAGGCCAGGCTAAGTGACCCTGGATGGGGGAGAGGGGCCACCAGTGGGCAGAGCAGGGAAGGGACTGGTGTGCGCGGGATGTGAGGAAGGCCTGGCTTCAGCAGTGGCTTGCAGCCCATGGGTCAGGACACCCACAGGCTGGCCACCCCTCTCTCGGCCCACCTCACTCTCATAGGAGCTCGGACCAGGCCAGCTGAGGACCGGGTCCCCTGAGCTCCGGGTCCCCTGAGCACTGACCCATGCTGAGGAGCTGGGGTTACGAGGACTGGTATTGGTGGGGAGATGATGTTACCACCTCTACCCAAGCCACAAGCTGCCAGGAGGAGGAGGCTGGCAGGAGGATGCGCCTTAGGGTAGACCTGAGGACACCCACCCATGGGGACAGGCAGCCTGGCCTCCAGGTGGGGCAGGGGCACAGTCTGGGCTTGGTGGGTGGGGCTCCTTTCGCCTGCACCCCATTCCCCCTGGGCTCTCTTGGGTGCCTGTAGGACCCAGGCCCTCTGTCTACCTGCAGGGCTGATTGAGTCACTCCCAGTGTAAGTGGCATACAGCAGGTGACAACTGTGTGCTGTGTTAACTGAAATGGGGTGGAGAGGGGTAGGCAGTCAGGGGTGTGCTGGTCAGGTGCCTTTGGCTACCATCATTGAGCACCACTGTATGCAAGTCTTCCAGGATGTGGGGACTTGGTGACATGCACAGACAGCTCAGGACCCCATGGCACCGTCTCCTTGTTGCCACACTCCCGTGCCCCTGTGCGTACAGTGTTCCGTTCTGTGAGGTGAGCGCTGTCTCAGCCTGAGTTCCAGAGGGGAGACCGAGGCACAGCCAAGCCACCCTGAGCAGCTGGGGCCTGGACAGAGTCCAGCCTGCTCCCGCCTGGGGCTTGGGGTTTGGAGCTGGCGCCAGGCGAGGCGTCCAGGGCTTTGAGGGAGAGACACAGGCTGGTGGGCGCGGCCTAGTGGGAGGACACCCCAGGAGGGGTGTGTGGGGTGTGGTGAGGCCTGCCCCCAGGCCGAGGCGCTGACCTGGGGTCACAGCAGCGTGCAGAGGCGCCCTGCGTAGGGACCAGCCCGGTCAGTGCAGGGCAGAGTGCAGCCAGCCAGGGCTGTGCCTGGGGGGCAGCGGCCTGTGCGTCAGCTGAGGTCCCCGGGACGCTGGCCTGCAGAGGAGTACTAGGTTCACTCTGCACCACGGGCAGCCTCGTGCATTCTTAGGGGATTCAGTGCTCGCTGCAGGGCTTCCCGGTCATGCCAGACAGTTGGCACAAGAGTGCAGGGGCCCCACTTCTGGGGCGCGGCTGCAGGCCCCATGTGCCTAGTGTGTGCCGAGTGTGTGCTGGAGCAGGCGGGTCAGAGGGCCTCAGAGGCCAGGACCTGCCCCCCACCATGCTGAAGGTCACTTGTAGTCTGGACTGACTCTCTGTCTTGCCTCACCCCCATGTCCCCAGCGTCTCTGTTGGGTGGAGGTCTGCTGCTGCAGGGGTGTGGTGTGCCACCCAGAGAGTCTCTGTGGCCCTGTGCCTATGGGGCGGAGCCCAGGGAGGTGGCCTTAGTGGGTTTGGGTCCTCAGACACCCCCCCCCCCCCGTGGTGGCTCCTTGGGTGTTTACAGATGGAGAGAGGCTGGCGGGACTGGGCACCTGGCAAGGACGTGGGGTGCTTTGCAGCCAGGCCGAGTCCATCTTAACAGGAAGCCCTGAACCTTTAGAGGTGGCTCTCCTGTCACCATCTTCAGCCTGGTTGGCCCTCTGCGGGCACACCTGCCCACTCCCCCAGGGGAGAGCTCAGGCCCCAGGGGAGTGCACCCCACAGGCCTGGACCTTCCTTTCCCCAGGAGCAGGGGCGTTTCTTTCAGGGACATAGGTGCCCTCAGCTCTCCACGCTTTCAGGAGACCCTGGCCTGGCCCAGCCCTATGCACGTTTGTGTGTGTGGGTGGCATGTGCGTGTGTGAGAGCATGCGTGTGAGTGTGGGCGTGAACACGTGTGAACGTGTGTGTGAGCGTGCATGCATGACCATGCGTGAGCGTGCCTTTATGAACGTGTGTGTGAATGCGTGGGTGTGAGCATGTGTGCACACGCATGTGATCACGTGCGTGTGTGAGCTTATGTATGTGCGTGTGTGAGTGTATGTGCGAGCTCTGCCTCCTGCCCTGGCTGGCAACCCCGCCCCGGTGCCCCCGAGCCGCCTCCTCAGGCCTGAGCACACCCGTGGCGTGTAAGCTCCGACGGGCAACTCTGTGGTTAGATGTAGAGGGGCACTTCCCTGTCCTGGGCAGGCGGTGGAGCTTCCTCCTTGCGAGTGGCTTTGGCCTTGGTGCTGGTGCCTGGGGTTGTGGAGTGTGGCTGGTATCTCCTCAGGGACATTCCTGTGGTGTCCACTGAGGTCCACAGTGCCAGAGGTCCTGTTGGAACCCTGTCTGTCCTGGCAGCGGGCCTGGGGGTGGAGGCCCAGGCCCTGGCTGCTGCCTGTGGCCCTGCTGTCCCCTGCCGCCCCCCCCCCCCCCCCCCCCCGTCCTCCTGTCCTGGTTTTCTGGTGAGTTCTGCTCGCCTCCTCCCTCTCTGGCATGCTGCTGCCTTTGGCAGGGGTTGAGGTGGCCTGGGCTGGTCCCCGTCCCTAGTGGGGAGCTGGGAGGCACTGCCACTACCATTGTGGCCCTGGTGTCCCTGAGCCAACGTGGTTTCTGGGGGTTCTCGGAGTGGGTACACACTTGTGGGGCCCAGCTCTGCACCGGATGCCACCTACCACCCTTGGGTCCACTGCTGTTGGGCTGGTCAGGGCTGGGTGTGGCCACAAGCTGCCCTTGGTCAGAAGCTGCAGGGACAGGCAGAGCAACTAGGCGTGAGGATGGGCATCAGGTCCGGCCCTGTGGGTAAGAGGTGGTGGCCGGGGTCTGCCCTGTGGCTGGCTGCTGTCCACCCTCACCTTGGAGGGGAAGAGGCCAGGCAGCTGTGAGTCAGGCTGATGGAGAGAAAGACTTCCCCGCTGGAGGGCGGAGCCTCTTCCTCAGGAGCTCTTGACACTGGGGAGCTGGGCTGGGCCTGGGGCCTGGGGACAGGGTCCTGCCCAGGTGTGGCCCACTGGCCACACAGACACCCCTGAGCCACGCCGTCCCACAGAGCTTGGAGCAGGTGCTGTCGAGTGGCCCCAGCCCTGTGTCCGCTGAGCCCTGGAGCCGTGGCCCGGACGAGGGTCAGAACTTGGAATCTGATTGGTTTGGTGACTTGGCGCAGCAGTGGCTCCGGGCTGGTGGCTTCGGGCGGGGTGAGGCCTCCCCAGGAGGCTGAGCTGGGTGGCTGTTGCTGGGGGAGGGGCGGTGGTCTCTATCTGGCAGGCACCTGGAGGGCTCCATGGGGGAGGCCGAGGCCAGTTGCCCCTCAGCGCCCACCTTCTGCCCCAGGAGCAGAAGTTCTGCCAGCGCTATGACCAGCTCATGGAGGCCTGGGAGAAGAAGGTGGAACGCATCGAGAGCAACCCCCGGCGGCGGGCCAAGGAGAGCAAGGTGCGCGAGTACTACGAGAAGCAGTTCCCTGAGATCCGCAAGCAGCGTGAGCTGCAGGAGCGCATGCAGAGGTGAGCCCCGGCGCCCCGTCCCTGCCACCCCGGGCCACCCTGGGCTTCCCCCAGGCCTCCCCTGCCACCCCGGGTCTCCCCCCTGCCACCCCGGGTCTCCCGCGGGCCACCCCGGGCCACCCTGCCACCACGCCACCCTGGGCCTTCCCCAGGCCACCCCTGGACCAGCTGTGCAGCTGGAGGTCTGTCCCTCTGCTGCCTCCTCCCCACGTGACCTCACCCTGTGGGGATGTGGTGGGCTCAGGCCTGCCCCTGGGATGCAGCCTGGTGTCCCGGCTGGCAAGGGGGTGGTCCTGACTTTGTCCCTCTGGCCCCCAGCAGGGTGGGCCAGCGGGGCGGCGGGCTCTCCATGTCGGCGGCCCGCAGTGAGCACGAGGTGTCTGAGATCATCGATGGCCTCTCAGAGCAGGAGGTGAGTCCCAGACCTGGCTCGGCCTCAGCGTCCCTTCCCCTGGGTCCCCTGCTGCAGGGGAGGGTCCCCGTCAGAAGCGGGCTCACCCTGGACGGTTAGGGGCAGAATGATGTGGGGCCTGGAGGCCCTGGACTAGCAGTGCTGGGCAGCCGGGACCTGCTCCAGGCCTGTGGGGTGGGAGGGAGGCTGGGGCTGGGCACTGACCAAATTCCCTGATGCCCAGAGGCAGGCAGCTGGGGTGGGGCCTGCCCCTGGCTCTGCCCCTCTGGCCCTTCGAGGCACCCCCTGGGCTGAGCCCCAACAGCCAGTGGGTGGAAGCCCCTGAGCAGTAGGCCCTGATCCTGACGGACTGGAGGGGACAGGACAGTCGGAGAGTGCAGCCGGGCCCCTCCCAGCCCCAGCCTCCGGCTCCAGGTTTCTCCTCAGACTGGACGCCTGGAGGCCAGCCACGGTGGCCCTGACCATAGTCACTGGGCCCGGGGATGGCCAGCCAGGAGGTGGGGGTGTGTGTCCTATAGTTCCTGCTGTCCCCTCCCAGGTCTGGGGCTCTGGGGTCTAGCCCAGCACTCGGGTCCCTGTGCCCACACTGTGGTGGGATGAGGCCATGCGCAGAGGGGCCCTGGCCCCTGCTGTGGTCTTTTCAGGAGGGCGGTCCTCGGTGTTCCTGTTTGGCCACCGTGGCTCTTTAAGTGAAATACAGTTGAAGACTCGGTTTCCCAGCGGGGTGGCCTGCAGCCCTGGAGGGTGGTGGCCGGGTGGTGGGCAGTGCCGAGACCACACCTCTTCCTGCAGGACATCCTGGGCAGTGCCGCGCCCTGGTGCCCGTCTCAGGCCCATGGGACCCAGGTGGCCCGGGAGCGGGCCCTGGCTAGGCAGTGGTCCTGGGCCTGGCCCCAGTGCGGATTCGGGGAGTCGGGCAGAGCCCTGGACTTGCCCCCGCACCAAGCTGCCCTGTGCCTGATGAGGTGGCACGAGGTGGCAGGGCCGCCTGGCCGATCAGCTCCAGGCACACGCGGCCTGCAGAAAGCAGAACAGAAAGCCACTGCCTGCGGCCCGAGGCCTTGCCCTGGCCTGCTGGGGGCCACGGCTGGCTCCTTCCTTCCTGCGCGCTGTCCTGCCGACCCCACGCCCAGCCCAGAGCCCCGGGTCCCACCGCATGAGGCTGCGGCTGCTGTGCCTGCACCAGGCAGGGACGTGGGAAGGGGAAGTCGGGACAGGCTGTCCCCAGGACCATGTGAGGGAGGGTCTGTGAGAGGCTGGACCCTGACCGTCCCCCTCAGCTCTAGGCGGCCAGAGCACAGTCCCTGCTAGGAACACTCGGGAAGGTAGCCCAGGAGCAGGAGGGTCCCTTTGGGGAGGGTCCCCCGTCCACTCCGGTGCTGCCCTCGTCTCGGGCAGTGAGGCTGGTTGCAGGCCATGTGCTGACCGCTGGGCCTCTGTGGGCTCTTCTCCTGGCCAGATGGGAGCTGCGTCCCCTCCTTTGCTTCTTGGCCAAAAGCCTTGAGCTTCGAGGGGGAGGTCGGATGTGGGAGGTGGGGCCCTCTGGGCAGCTCATGTCCAGGGCAGGCTGGCCATGGGGCTGCGGGGAAGTGAGGTCCCGTGTGCGGCTCAGAGCCCCTTGCTCATCCCCATCCCTTCTGTGTCAGTGTCCACGTGCCCTGGGCAGCTGGACCCCAGGCCCACCGCCTGGCTGCCTGCCTAGCCCCACGGAAGGTTCCCCTTTCCCCACAGATGGCCCCGAGGGCAGAACTCTCCTGCGGTGTCGGGGTGCCCGCCTCCCTGGGGCTGGCCACTGCCGCCTGCTGCTCACCTCTCCCTTGCTCTCCGGGATCTCGCCGTCCCCCACCCTGCCCTCCATGCCCTCCGACCCGACCCTCTGTCCTGTTGCCCCAGAACCTGGAGAAGCAGATGCGGCAGCTGGCTGTGATCCCGCCCATGCTGTACGACGCTGACCAGCAGCGTATCCGGTTCATCAACATGAATGGGCTCATGGACGACCCCATGAAGGTGTACCGGGACCGCCAGGTCATGAACATGTGGAGCGAGCAGGAGAAGGACACCTTCCGGGAGAAGTGAGTCCACCTACGGGCCAGCCTGGGCTGTGGCATGCCGGAGACGGGTCAGCTGGTGCAGACGCCAGGATGCAGAAACAGCATAGTGCGGTCCGGAGGGTCTTAGGTGGAGAGCCTCGTTTAGAAATGTACCCAGTTGCCAGGCGCGGTGGCTCAGCGCAGTGTGGGAGGCTGAGACAGAAGGGTTGCAAACTGGAGGCCGGCCTCAGCAACTTAGCAAGACCCTGTCTCCACCGTGTAAAGGGCCGGAACGGGGCTCAGTAGTGGAGCACTCAGGGTTCAGTCCCTGGCACCAAAAAGAGAACGGCCTTTGTTTGTGAAGCTTCTGAAACCCACCTAGGTAGAGGGCAGGGTAGCAGTGTGCAGGGGTCTCACTCAGGGTCCACTCCAGGTCTCAGGTGGCTGGAGCGTCCTCCTATCAGGTTAGACCCCATGTTGAACGTCCCTTGGTACCTTAGACGGGGAGGTGGCCGGGCATAGCCAGAGGCTGGGTGTCCCTGGCGCTGGTTGTGGGTTCTCGCGGTGGCTTTACTCTCCTTGAGACATCGCCCACCTGTTAGTTCAGAAGCTGGCCGCGTGGGGCCGGGGTCTGCAGCCTGGCTCCTGCGTCAGGAGCAGCTGCCACGGGGTCCTCCGCAGAGTGCGGGTCACTCGGAGGCCTCACTTGCAGAGCTCGTAGCAGTGCTCGGGGCCTCTGAGGATCTGGAAGAGGGCACAGGGTCTGCTGTCCCCGCTGTGTGGCCCGGAGCAGGCTGCCCCCCGCAGAGCCCCCGCTTCCATATGGGGTGGCAACGTGGTCGCCCTGGCACCCTGGGATGGGTTCCACCACCCCTCAGGTACCAGCTCTGCGGCTCCAGCCCCCTGGGCCCATAAGGAGGGGGTGTGAGGGGACCTGTGCATCTCCCCACCCGTCGCAGTGACTGAGTGCGTCTTCCTGGGTGCCTGTTGCTCAGAGAGTGAGGGTGTGAGGATGAGCATGGTCCAGGGCAGATGTGGGGATTCGGGGACCCTCTGGCCCTGTGTCGGTTGTCTGCAGACAGCAGCACCTGTGGGCTCAGGCCCAGCTGCCCCTGGGGTCTCTTCAGCAAGCTCGGGGGCCGGGGGCCGGGGGCGGGGACAGGCAGCCTAGGAAGTTTTCCCATGATTGATTCCTGGAAGGGAGTCGGGCAGGACGGTCCCCACACGGGGTGGGCTACAAAGGACTCCATACCCGGAAGAGACGGCTCTGAGACAGCCCCAGCTCTGCCAGCAGCCCGAGGCGGCCAGAGCCCAGGCCAGGGAGGCCCGCCACTTGCCACTTCCTCTAGGAGGACAAGAGGCGCTTCCAGAGTCTCTAGTGTCTGGCTGGGATCGGGGGAGGCCCGCTGGCTTCCTGCCCAGCCACCTGGTGGCCAGGCACGACGAGTGCCTGCACTTGCCTGGCCTGCCTTGCTGACCGCCATGTCCCCCCTGGAAGGCTGTGGGGTGATGGCAGGTCGTGGGATGCTGGCACTGGGGCTGGTGTCTCCACCCAGCGTCCCTGGGGCCCAGCAGGCCGTGACCCATGTCCCCACCCCTGCCGTCCCTGTTCCCTGCTGTCCCTGTTCCCTGCTCAGCCGCTTCCCAGTAATTCCCGGCTTCACAGGAAGCCGGGGCCCAGAGCCAGCTCCCGGGCTGCCTTCAGTGCATTGTGGCCGCCTCCTTGGCCGCCAGCCCCGTCCCGCCTCCCGCAGGCTCGGGGCCTCCACTGCGCCTCCCTCGGGAGCCCGCTGCCTGGCGGCCGTGACCTCTTCCCAAGCAACCGGCTTCCCAGGCCCAGCTGGGGGGGCCCAGGGCAGGTTTTTAAGGGGACCTGGCAGAGCCGGTGGACGTCCCGTGTTTCCTGGAAGCCATCTTCCCAGGACAGACACACATCTCAAAGGCACTGCAGCTGTGACTCACTCCGGGTCCCACCCCACCGCCAGCCCTTCCCACACCCCCGACTTAATTGCTCTGAGTGGGGCGGTGCCCACCGCGCCAGCCGTGGAGATGGCTGGCGCCTGGGTGCTTACAGGCCGCCCCGCGGGGACGTGCCCCTCGGCCTAGCCTCACGCCCGTTCCCCTCTCCCCACAGGTTCATGCAGCATCCCAAGAATTTTGGCCTGATCGCCTCTTTCCTGGAGAGGAAGGTGAGTTGGCTCCCTCCACACTGCCAGCAGCCACTACAGGCCCAAGGCAGAGGACCCTCCCTGCCCAGAGGCCGCCACCCCCCCCTCTCAGGGAGCAGCACTGCAGGCCCCGCCCTGGCCTGGGATGGGGAGGAGCATCCGGCTGCCGCACAAGTGGGAATGCAGGAGAGCCCTGTAGGGGTGTCCCCTCAGCCCTGCGTGCCCGCCTCCCCACCCGCTCCTCAAGAGTGCTGTCAAGTGTCCTTGCAAATTGGGGATGTGACTTGGAAGCCTTGCTTTGCCTGGCGCCCCCTGTGGATGGGGCCGTGTGCCTCCCAGAGCCCTGGTGGAGTGGCTCTCTAGGTCCCTGTCGTGGTCACTGTGAGCTCTCTGATGCCCAGACGCCAGGCCAGGTGTGTGGCTGACATGTCCCAGTCCACATGGACAAGCCTGCTGGAGCCCCATTTTGTCCCCTAGTCTGAGCCTGGAGTGCCCTGAATCCTGTTCCTTGGGGGTGGGCACCCGGCGCCCCCAGCTCCGCACCATGCTGCTCCCAGGCCCCGGGCTCGTGGGTGGTGGCCGGAGCCCGGCCCTGGGTGTGGGATCCAGGCAGTTATTTTGGAGGACAACAGTTGTTCCCAGTGTCGGCCCCGATGGCGCACGACCATACAAGGAGGAGATGGGCGCTGGGAGGCAGCTCTGCCTGCCGGAAAAACCAGTGTGCAGAGAGCGCCCTATAAATAGCCGCCCTCCCAGGGAGCGCCCGTCCGGGTGCAGAGGCGGGGCAGGGTGTCCAGAGCCGCCACAGCAGTCCCTCCTGGGAGGGAGGGCTCTGGGGGAAGAGTTGGCCTCATGGCGGCCCCCCATGACAATGACAGCTTCCAGAGAGGTCAGGACAGGAGGTGCCCACTGGGAGGCGGGTGGACAGCCTGGCCTGACACGGGGCAGGCCACGGGACCACCAGCCGTGCGGAGCTGCTTGTGAGACACTCCTGCCTACTGGTCACGTTGGTGGGCAGCGTGGGCAGGGGCTGCGGGGGCTAGCCTCTATGTGGCACATCTGGCCTATGGGGGGCTCTTGTTTAGGGTGGCTGGGGTCTAGCCTGCTTCACCCTGACAGGCCTATGGACTGGCTTTCCCGGTGACCCTCGCCTGGCGCTGGCCTGAACCTCCGGGAACTTCTGCACTGCCTCAGGAAGGACTTCTGGCCTGGGGGGCTTGGCCATGCCCTCTGAGGGTGTCCGTTGCTCCTGTTGGGGTTCAGAAGCAGGCTCACGTGGGTCGGAAGCAGACAGGGTGACATGACCCCATGTGCGTGGCTTGGTGCTCCAGGAAGGGGCAGCTGCGGTGAGAGAAAGGAGCCCTGGCTTCATCTGGGCAGGTGCTGGAGGCTGTTCTGCACCAGCGGAGGGGGGGCCTCTAATAGCTGTATGGTCAGCACAAGGCACCTGCAGCCCGCTGGCCCCTGTTCCTGGCCAGGCGCGGCCCTGCGCACTGCTTCTGCGAGCAGCTTGGCTGGTCTTCCTGATGGCCCCTTGAAGTGTGTAGACCCCAAGGGGCCAGGAAACCTGCCTGCGGCCACCCACCAGTCTGTGCAAGAGCCATGCTCTGACCTGGCGCCTGGCTCTGGCCTCTGCTGAGTTCCCACCTGTGCCCTCGGTCTTGCAGACAGTGGCCGAGTGTGTCCTCTACTACTACCTGACCAAGAAGAACGAGAACTACAAGAGTCTGGTGCGGCGGAGCTACCGGCGCCGAGGCAAGAGCCAGGTGAGAGGAGGTGTGGGCGGCGTCCCTGGGGACCTGGCCACCTGCTGGGCAGCCACCCCTGCCCGAGCTTGTGCCCAGCAGCCTTGCAGCCCGGCTTCCCTCGGTGACGGTGGGTCTGGGGAGAATCCCTCCAGGACGCCTGCCCCGCTGGGAGTGTCCCCAGCAGGGATGAGTGCCCAAGAGAAATGGCCACTTATATTCTCAGCCTTGCCAGTTCCCCGGCTCCTGGCTGGAGAGGTCCCTGAGGTGAAAGGCCCCATTCCCAAGTGAGCATCCCTGGACATCTAGGGGTGACCAACAGGCGCTCTAGATGTGAACAGCTTGCTGTGCTTGTTTTAGTGTGTATTTGAAAGAAAAAACAGCCGGTCTTGGGCTGCTGTTCCCCAGGGTCCCTGCCTAGGAGGAGCTGGAGGGTTACTCTGGGACAGGGCTGGCCAGAGGCTGGGCCCGGGCCACCCGTTACCCATTTGTGCGAATAAAGTTTTGTTGGAACGTGGCTGAGGCCATTGGCGCCATGGCAGCTGTGCAGCAGGAGCCCAGTGGCCTGGGTGCCTGTGGTGGGGCAGCCCTGGGTGGAAGACAAGAGCACTGGTTTGGAAAACATTCAGTGAACACGGTCAAGGTTTCGGGGTCCGCGACACATTTGGAGGGGATTCTGGTTGGTTGGTGTTTGGATGGAGGCAGGGGCGGGCGTCTCTTACCAACCTCCCTTCCCAGGACCGTGTGGGCATCGAGCTGGCCTTCACAAGCGGGAATCTCTGTCCATGTGAAGTAGGCACTCGCTCTCGTTCTGAGCAGAGCGTCGGGCAGGAAGTGAGTCTTGAGGGAGTTAGCCACCCTGGCTGCATTCTGAATGTCCCACCGAAATGCTCAGGACTGAGCCCTTATCCTTGTCCTCGGGGTCCTTAAAGGAAGGCAGCATGTGGTCTGTGGCTGGGGTTTCCTGGGCTGGTTTTGCAGTGCCGTGCTGGCCAGCCTGCTTGCCCTGCCCAGCAGGGGAAAACCATGACGTGGTGGCCCCAGTAGTGTGGTGGCTCCCATGCTGGATGCCCCTCCTCTGTGGAAACGTCCTTCACATTGACTACCCACGCTGTGGACTTGGCCGTGTGCTGGGCCCAGGGGCCTCTGAGCTGGCTGTGCAGAGCAGACATGATGGGGGACCCCAGGGTGCTGGGACCCCAGGAGGACCAGATGAGCTTGATGAGCAGCCCCCACCCGGCCAGAAGGAGCAGAGGGTGGCCCAGATGGCACGGGGACATGAGGGAGAGCAGAGGGCTGCAGAAGAGGGCCAGGTCCTCTTGGGGTTCAGGTGAATGAGGAGACACAGGACCACCTTTGCCCCGTTGGCATCAGCTGGTGTCCACAGGACGCAGACCAGGAGCACTCCTGCTCGCCGTGTGTCGGGGAGGTAGCAGGGCTTGGCGAGGTAGGGGCTCCCCAGAGACCTGCACCCTGAGCCAGCTCGCGCCCATTCTGGGCCCTCTGAGCTGCCGTCTCTGAGTCTTTGATGGTGGGCTAGAAATCTGGGTTTAGGTGAAGCTGGTTTTAAATCTTAGGTCACAGGAAGCCCCGAGACTGCGCGCCAGCCCCCAGGACAGGCCCAAGGATCATGTGACCTGAGACAGAGGCCAGGCTGGCCTCTCACACAGGGCAGCGCCCCCGCCTGTGTCCCTGTATGTGGGAGGGTCTCGGGGGTGTCCCCTTTTGATCAGCCTGGCTGTGGTAGAGATGCTGGCCCCACCTGGGTCCTGCCAGGGGCAGAGGTCTATACCTGAACCCCAGGACCGCTCTTGTGCTAGGCAGATCCGCTGACCTGGCTGTTGCCCCGTGCTGGGTCATCCTCCTGGGCACCCGAAGGACAAACGCGGCCTGGCATAGTGGCTGTGAGGGCACAGATGAGGAGGAGGTGCAGGAAGTGGTGGTTTCCAGGTGGCTGATGCTGTGAGTGACAGCACCTGCGGCTTCTTAATGTGAGGTGAGGCTGTCCGTCCCTGGTGGCAAGGCCTATGAGTGGGCACGGACATCCCAGGCAAGCTGCGCTGCGACCCATCTTTCTGACCGACTCTTGGCCATCCTGGCGGCCTGAGCACTGGTTGGTGGGGCACAGGCTGCCTGCCCGCCTCCTGCTGCCCAGTGGTCTCCTCCCTTTGTGGGCTTCTGGGCCAGCGGCGTGTCTGGCACCCTCCAGCCTGGATACAGCCCCCTCCCCTGACCGCAGGTGAGCCGTGGAGGCCTCGGGCCAGGGCGCGGCCAGGGCGCCCCCTCTCCCTCTCCCTCTCCCTGGGGGCCCCTCTCCCCTCTCCCTGGGGGCCCTCCTCCCTGGCACGTAGCTTGGCAGGTGGGTGGATGCGCCACAGGTCAGCTTCCCTCTGTCCATGTCCTCTCCCCGTGCAGGAGGCCCCGGTGGTTTTGGCCAGGACTGTGGGCACCCCCATGGGCGCTGGGGTCCAGGGAGACCTGGCAGCTTCAGGTGGGTCCCAGAGGCTGGCCTGCAGCGGGAGTGTAAGGGGCGCTGTTGGCTGCAGTGGTGACATGGGGACCGGGGCAGCAGAAGTCATGGTGGTCCTGGTCACGTGGTCCTGCCTGGGTGTGCGGGGGAGGTGCTGCAAGGACCCTGTCACACACAAGTGGGGCCGGGCGTGGAGGGGCTCCCGGGGGCCTCTGTCCCTGGGTCAGACCCCAGCCTTCGCCCTGCGCCCTGGGAGGTGGCATTCAGCACAGCTGAGGCTGGTGGCTGGTGCCACTGGAGGGGCGGGGCCGGGCTGTGTCCTGTGGCAAGACAGAGGTAGAGCGGGCCGGTGGCAGGGCCACAGCCCACACCTGCGTCTTCGTGCTTGAGGACAAGCTCGGGCCCTGTGACTGGCAGCGTCTGCCTGCCCGTCTCCTTCCCTTCCGCTCCCAGGTGCCTCTGTGACCGCTGTGGCTGCCCTTCTGTCTCTCCTTGTGTCTCCTTTTCAGACTCCAGAGCCCTGTCCCTGTGCCTGTCCCCTCTCCTGAGTGGCTACATAGGGGTCATGGCCCAGGCCACACCAGTGCTAAGCTGCTCACCAGTGTTCAGTTTGCTCATCAGCACGTCAGGTGTCACTGGATGGGCCTCTGCTTTACCTCCCCGGGGACCCGCCTACCCCGAGAGACGTCTGTCCCATGCACAGGCTGTGCGTAGTCACCCGGGGCACCCTGCAAGCCAGGGCTGCTAGACGCCCCCTTTAGAGGAGAAGCAGCGTGGTGTTTTAGGACGGCCACCGCAGGTTGGCCCAGCCGTGCTCACACACCAGACTGTGCGGACAGGAGCTGAGGAGGCGGATACCAGGTGGGACTTCCCAGGTGCTGACAGTAGGCGTGATGTCCTTCCCAGGCTGTGGTCCCTGAATCATATGGTGGAAGACACATGTCCCTAGTTGGCTGGCTCATCACCCAGGCCCAGAGGCTGAGGTCCCTGTCTTGGCCACTCCTGGCTCCGTGGTTGAAGTGGGAGGCTGTGGTTGGCTCTGAGGGGCAGGAGTGACCCCGGGGGCCGCCGGGGCTGTGCCCTTTCCTGGCCTGCGGACCTTATCTGTCCTTTGAGTCATCTGCGGGGTTGGGGCGATGCGGAATGCCAGCTGCCCTCGACCCTGCAGGCCAGGCCTGAGAGCTGCCCTGTGGAGAGCCCTGGCTGCCTCACCCAGCCTGGCCACCAAGGGGCTCTGAAGCAGCCTTCCTGGATGTCCCCTGGGGCACTGACGGGCAGTGGCCAGCCAGGGAGGCAGCCCCGGGCAGAAGGGACGTTCGTGGGGCCCAAGGCTGCCGATGGGCAGCCCACCCTCCTCCGGGGGCCTGGCCAGTCTGTCCCTCACGGCGCCTGTGTGTCAAGCACAGTCAGGGCCTGCTCTCGGCCACGCCCGGGCGGCAGGACGCCACCACGTCACACAGGCTTCTGTCCTGGGCGTCCCCACCAGGCCAGAGCTCGACAGCCAGCCCACCACCGGCCCCCGCGTGCCCCGCCCCAGAGTTTCTTGGTCGTCACTCCAGGGCCACTTTGCACACCACAAGTGGGGACCGGGTTGCGGGGCCCTGAGGCGTGAGCAGTGGTCTGAGCTCAGCCTTCTGACACTGGCCGCCCGTGGCCACCTGCACTCTGGCCCATGGAGCAGGCCCGCCATGGTGTCCACTGCCCTGTAGGCGAGGGTTACGGCTGGTCGTGGGCAGTGGCGAGTGTACTATGCAGAAGCCTCTGTCCAGCCCAGGGAGCTGCATGCCCAGGTAGCCCCTCCTGCCAGCCCCAGGAGATCCCCAGCCCACCCCCGGAGCCTGGCCCCTGACAGTGGCCAGTGAACTCACAGGCTGGACCGGGGCCAGCAGCCACCCCTAGGCTCGAGGGCCCAGCTGTCTGTGGTGAGTCACAGGCCATGTGGGCCAGCTCTCATTCTGGCGATGGCGGAGGTTTATAGCTGGTGATTCACAGGCCAGGCCTGGCCACTCCACCTACTGCAAAGCCAGAGCTGCCCAGTGAGCCCGTGGTCAGGGAGCCAAGCAGGCCTGGCGGCTGCTCACAACAAGAAGGCCCGGACAGTCACCGAGGCCTTCCCACGGCCATGGGGCCACGTGGTCAGGGTGGCATGTCCCTGAGGGTGAGTGTTCCCGTCCCTCTCTTGTGGCCCAGGAGGAGGGGCCAGCTGGGAGGCCAGGGGGTGGCAGAGCTCCCGGTGACCTTCTCTCCCACAGAGACGGGACACAGGGACAGGAAAGGTCTGTCCTGGCTCCTGCGTCCTGGCCTGCCCTTCCGGGCTGCTGGCCGAGGGAGGAAGCTGGGGCGGAGGCCCACTGCCCAGCTGCCGTCTGGCCGCACACCCTGATCTCCAGCGCCCTGTTCGTGTCTGTCTCCTGTCCACTCCCCACTGCTGACCGCGGAGCAGGGCTGCACTGACCAGCCCGACCCTCAGCCCCAGCCTCTGTTCCTTGTCTCTGTGGTCCTGGTCCTGTGGTGTCACTCTGCAGGAGCCCCGCCCCACGGTTCCCCCACC